GTATTCCAACCATCGCACGTTACTTCGGTAGTCACAAACTGTCCCAAATGCTTTAACGGCAAACAGTGTACAATCCAGGTGGGTAGAGACCCATTATGCCCACAGATCGTTACGACAACTAAATATTATTACGGGCCATCAAAGCTAGCCTCAAAAAAAGGCCATATCCTCAGCACCTATATATTTGGCTATTTCAACACCTGACCAAATAATCGTTTTAATTAAAAGCGAGGAAGGCAATAAAAATAATGGCAAAGGCCTCAGTGAAGCGGGGTAGGATACATGAACCACTGATATCAGCTGTAAATATCAACCTGATAATAACTCTGTTGTCTACAGGTGTTATGTCCCCATGTTCTGGAGCGCTGCAATACATTCGGTGGTGCGTTTAAGGAACAGCTCTTTGGTCAGTACCGCGACGTGGATATGGAAAAGCAATTCAACTGAGTCTTGCGTTCCGCAGTTGCCATGGCGTCATTGTATCTTTCAGGAAATTACCTTTTCCACTCATTCGCACTCCATGGTAGACCAGTGGGTGTAATTATAAAATCTCAAGCCTTCCGTCATTATCGGCTTATAATCTAAACCGAAATAGTACCTCCAAGTAACATTTTAAGATAATTTGCAAGTCAAAGTAACATTCGCTCTATAATTTGTTTGAAATCATCATTTGAGGTGCCTTCAACAGTATGCCGAAAATATAGTCATTTATGGATATGTCACTGAGTGTGAGAGTACGAGTTGCCATCAGCAGTTTGAGGGTCTGACATTACATTCATCAGTCTTTACCACAGAGTATACAAAATCCCATTAGAGCATGAGATGAGGCATTTTTAATACAGATTTGCGTGATTTTTTTTAACGTATCACGAAGTACGAATCTGAGACTGTATAGCCGTCTCTAAATTATGACTACTACTATTACCGTTAGTTGCTGTTTGTGCAACGGCGGCTTGTATTATCTTATTGTTCTCAACGTCAAGCTTATTATGTCACAATGGGAACCTTGCATGAACAATGTACTTCGATAAGTTTTTGTCTCGGTCTTCAAATTGTCTGTAAAAGTCAAAAAAACAGGTAAATTACTAGGAATTAATAGTATGGACGCCTCAGGATGTGAAGTCCGTTAGTAACCAAGCTAATTATGGAAATGTCTCTAAAAGGCTGAACCTGGCTAGCTCATCAGCTTTTTTTGTTATCACAGATTTCACTGTAAAGAAAAGCGGCTATTTCCAACAAATCCCATCTTGTTGTACATCCACTAGCCGGTGCTTGAATTGATTACAAGAGCGTCCCTTATTATTCCAGCCAAGTAAATAGTTATCGACAGAAGCTGCAAGATCATGCGTCCATTTTTACGTGATATTTGCTTTCGCATTACTGACCATCACAGTCGAACGTTTCCGGCCAACTAAACAGGCCTCTTGAAACCTTAAAATAAGAAAGTCCAGAAAAGTAAATGCCACGTCCCAAAAGCACGAAATCACGTTCGACTCACAACCACCATTTATTATCATACTAAATAGGTAACTTTTAGTGTTTTGTTAAATGTATAATGATTTCAGTTAAATGGGCACAGTGGATAAATAGACCGAACCATAGATCTACAAATACAATTAAAAACCATTTTCTACTGGTCTATACCACTTTGGAATTAATTGGCTCGGCTTAATATTCACAGACGAATAGTCGCTTCCCGAGCATGCAAAACTGATATAAACGGTAATAATGGCCATTTGCCTTGGACATGTCACGACAGAAACAATGAGGATCGAATAGGAATAGTGACTAAAATAGGATGACGCACTACGCCTTCGTAAGTGATATAAAACTTCAAATATATAAGAACAGTCACTGTTGACTGGTGGAAAATAAACCGACTGATCCTAGCCAATGCGTATAACTATGTTGGTTGGAAAACTAGTTTATAAAAACAGTGTCTAATAATCCGCTCACTCTAAATTTCTTTGATTGATTCAAAGATGTCGTAAGTTCCAGTTATTCAGACCTTTGCCTTGTTACGTTTCTGGACTCGAATTTTTACTTAACAAATAGGTGATTATTTTTTTCAATTTGATTCAGTTGTAGCCCTAATATTCTTGCAACCCAAGCCAAGCGATCCACTTCTATTGTGATTGACTTTTTGTATAATAACATACAATTTCAAGCTTAGTTACATTGGCGCAGGCATCAATTAGGTTCCTCCATTGAGGTCTGTTAAACATTCTTACCTATATCGACGTTGGAAATTTTAACTTCAACAAAACAATTTTTATTTCAAGCTACGCTTGATTGTATCACAAACTCGGATGCGGTAATTGTCATGGTGGTAGGTCTGAATTTAAAATGCTTACCTAGCGTTTAGCTTTCCCTCAGCGGATACTCGCAGCGTCAATTACTATTTCCCTATATTGCTGCCTTTACAGTGATTTACGGAGAAAATCCAGACTATTATTATGATGACGCGGAAATTACTTTTACAGTTTGACCGGAGCTAGCATCCCTTCATTCAAGATAATTACGCACTGAATCTGCACTAGTCATGAGCATGTATGAAGACAAACACATGCAAAATTATGTGCTTTATTAAAAATTCTTACTAAAGATTGTACACAAAAGTTGTATGTCTGGAACAAACAACAATGACTGCCTATGCATATCCTTTTCCTCGTATAATTGCTGAACTGACATCGAAGTACCATAGACTCAAGGTGTTTCCGTTCGACGTGATATTTCACTGAATTTCAATGAATTTACGTGAAGTATCAGCCCGAACGAACTGTAAACGCAGTCGTACGTGATATTTCGAATTTGACGTTATCTGCTTCTTGATCAAAAAATAGATATTAAAGAACAACAACATACATATTTCCCTCCAAAAGAAAATCTGCACCAAAGAGAATTCATCCGATTTAGATAGGAAAAATAAAGGACACTCTGTTTAATTGAGACATCATGACATGTTCCGCGCTTTAACGTAACGTTTGCAGGTCTTAGGTGACACGCGCTTGGACAAACAGTAAAAATGGTGTGACACTCCTCCGCAGCGCTCCTGGTGATTCCGAAAGTATTTACATCAAAACTCATTATTTCAATACCTATACACTAGAGTAGTACACGCCAAAGTCCGAATTACACGGTTGATACTTTAAATATGACATCGTATTCGAACGAACTCATAGTTATTTCTTTCCCTTAAAATACGACTTGGCCCATTTCATGATATTATATCCATAAAATAATCTACAACTATGCTTACGAATGCAAGCATTCATATACTCTATCGTAGGAAGTTTGATAAGATCTGATTGCGAAACAGCAGTTGAATTAGAACATTAGCCGAAAAAATACACAGAGTCGAGGACTTCCTTTAGATCAAATTCACCCTTTTGAGGAACTTGTCTCAAAACTTTGTTAAGCCTCTGCTTGATAATGTCTGAAACAGAACTGTCTTTGAGGATCTCGGCTGTAGGAAAACCGAACTGTTTCTGTAGATGAATCGACAAATCTTCAAGGATTGGGTACGAATGAAGGGCTACGAACTGTTCGCGACATAACTGATTCATGATATCCACCTGAAGAATTGCAAAAACGCAGAGTTAAAAGATCGACTAATCCTGTCTTCTTGTTCTTCCCTTTTCGTTACTTTAGCGTCATCACGACTTCCTCTCCAACAGGCTTGGTATCACTTGTTTGTTTGAGATATTAACTCGAATGCCACGGATAGAGCATAATAACATTAACAGAATACGTTAGCGCCATTTTACGCGGGACAATAAACAGCTAAATTAATAGATAACCATAAATCACGCACCGTAGACGGATGCGTCCAGAAACAGTCGTGAACGGATACAAAGGTGATTCCTGCTGCCTGCGCATGAATCGCCGTCAGCATCATGTGGCTAGAGTCGAGACTGTGAACAAAGTTCGGTGGGAAAGCATTCTTCTGTTTATTCACGTTGGGTTTAGCGTCGTGGTCACCAAGATCGATGTATTGCTTTTTGATTGATTCTCCGAAAGACACCAGCGATCTAGAATAAAACAGAAACCCAAAAGAAGCCAAGACAAATTGAGGCTATGTAATCAGTAGAGGAGTAATACTCCTGCCCTACGGCTGATTGCAGCAGCCGAACTCATTTTAGAAGGGGCATAAGTGCACAAGGAGGTAGTCTAATCTCTATTGCTTTATAGGGCAGAAAAAGAGTTGTTCACAACACGGTTCAATATGATACTTTTTATTTGACGCACAAATGCAAGATGAAGCATTATCTGGTTGCCTGCGCGAACTATCCGAAACAAAGCACGCCACACGAAGACACTATTGATACAGATTTCTATTTCTATCTATTTTAACTGTTTATTTAATGCACTTTTATAACTGTAGAAAAGTACTAGTGAAAGTTACTTCGGCTAGCTCTGCATTGTATCCTCATCAATCAGTACTAAGCATATTTTTGTCCAGTAAATTTTAGAATATCATTATAGAGAGCTTTATCGCAACAAATGTCATGTCTCTAAGGGAACCTTCTTTTAAACATTCTGTGAGAGCTTTTTCCTCCCTAACTAGTTTTATATTTAACACTGAGCACTGACACGGGGGCAACGGCATCTCGTAGCAATCAAATAATTACATGTAAAGACAGGGTATAGTTAGTGACTATAATTAGTCCTACGATTCTATTTACACTTCTGGCGTTCTGGATTAGCGACGTATTGCCACCGTGTTTAAGATATTTTGACGTTGAGGTCCCTAGACCACGCATTTCGCTGTCAGTATAATACCATGTCATGTGGCTATTTTATTCAAAGTGCATGGCGAAGCACTTAAAAACGAAGAACGTAAATCTAAATGTCGTCGGCGAAGAATCTGGACCAGCTTGTTCCACCTAGGTTCGCTGCTACCGATTCGATTTACAAACGGATGGACGAAAGCTACTACGGGGACTCCGCGGATATTGAAGGTAACTGCTTCATGCCTCCATGATGTTCATAGTGGAAGGAAAGACTCGGTCGTTTTCGATAAAGCCATTGTCGCGTAGACTCAAACGTAGAATATTTCCTGAGGCCGCTTTGTCGCCATATATAATTGTGGAATTCGCCACGAACTAGATAAAGCCATCGGCACCATAACAACTGAAAAATAAAGCTTTCTCGAGCTCGTTTTCACTGTCTTTTTCAGTATTTTGATTTTGCCTTGAGAAACAACTCGTTGACTCTTACTTAATGCCAAGTGAGTTGAAGTTGCCCAGTATAATATTTGCACGATCAGCGTCACACATTTCATCACCATTCAACTCACTGGCTATCCTTGATTTGCGTGCATAAGATTCCCTTCCTGTCTTTCACTTGTGTGCATGGGATTCCCTTCTTATCTTTCACTGGCGCGCATGGGATTCCCTTCTTAACTGAAAATTGGGGCACTGCCAATGGTTCTGCTTCCTATCTCGGACGTATATTTCTCCTGGCGGAAGACAATTTTACCGTGCTTATACCTATTATATATCTTCGAATGAATTCGTATGTTCCGTAGTTCTGCCCTTGTAATATAGGTTGACCGAGTCATCGTTGCCGTTAACTTAGTTTATCCGATAACTTTTTTTAGTCATAGGCTTTCACGCTTTGATCGGTTTTGATCTGTCAATGCACTCCTGTCCAGGAATTCTACTATTCCAAATGTCTTGCTTCAACAGGTCTCAAAATTTAGCTAGATTATTTCAACGCACAATTGATTATTGGAACAGCGATGAAATGATGTGGATTTAACCAGTTTCACTGATACCAGGCGGACATATGCATTGGTTTTAAAATTAATATATATCTTCAGCGCTGACGCCACTCGAGAGCACTGATCTATTTATTATCTTTTTTTTTCTCAGACAAAAGGAACTTTTTTTTAGGAAGATCCTTAACCTGTCCAGCCGCGGCCTTGTTCTGCGGGTTCAATGTGTTGTTCATTATGTGCCACCTGAAGAGCTTTAAGAATACCTTTCCTCTCGAGTGCATGTAAAATTTGACGCTTCGTTAACATGCACGGGTATCACTTACAGGATTACAGACATCTGCTGACATCCCTGTCCATTTGACGGTTCTTTATTACTTCTCTTACGAATCACACGAATTAGGATTGCCTCCGTTCCTGAAAATATTACTAGCCCGAGAGATTTGCTGAAAGCAGTTCAGATTTCTTTTTAGGTATTGTTTCTCATTTTTCGGCAATCCGTTTTTGGGTTACCAAAGTGTTTACATCCAGTTTCTCTTTTTTTTTTTTTGAAAATCCGTCGCAGCAATGTTCTTTAGCCGACACAATTACCATGCCCAACCGATCATGACCCTGCTATGGTAGATCACCTATGCCAGTTCTTACGATGACATAGGAGGTAACGTGGTTAAGTACTAACTGGGAAGACACGTGAAATAATTTAAATCCAGAACAGTGCGCAGATACAATCTGTTTCGTACTCGAGGTAGCTAGAAACGGAAGAAAGCAATGTTTAACCGCAACACCGAACTTAAAATTCTAAGCTAAAAAAAATAGAGGATTGAAGTCTGTTGACCATGTTATACGTTGAAGTGTGTCCATAGCAGCTGTGATACAGCCGCTCATAGCACACGAATTAATTTGCAAAAATACGACCCTTATTATCAATGACTTTTCGACAATTCCGCCACATGTAGCAAGAAGTAGAGATGGCGTCGTTCATTGCCACTTTTACTGTTTGTTAGATTGAATCTTTTTGGACGGTTTTTCCTTTTTAAATTGTTAGATGATATAGTAAAGGTTGGGCAAGGATTGATAAATACGCACATTCTATAAAAACGTCCCATATCGGCACAGGACTCTCTTTGCCTACATGTATGTTTTAACATGCGGAACGCGGATCACCCCAACCATCAGTGTGTACGGGCAAACCGATGCATTCATTATTGTTGACCTCATAATCTGGCGTAATCAATATAAAGCTACACAAAAAACTGAGGGTACCATTCTACGTATTTTATGGCATTAGTACACGGACGAAAAAAATATTAAAGAACACTAGATCTTAGCCTTCAGTAGTAAGCAAAAAACCATCCAAACCATCGTATTCAAAATCTTTGCAGATACTTTTCTAGGCTGTGTTTTTACTTGACGCATGGCTGAAACAGATCTGAAAACCTATTACATTGCTCCTTCTAGAAGGCATAGGTGGCCAGAAAGTGGTACGCTATTAGAATTATGCAAAACGCATTTTATGCATTTTAGCTGCTGAACTAAGGCTCCGTAATGGCGCAGTGGATAACGTGTTTGCTTTCTATATTTAGGGGACACATGGTGATCCAGGTTCGAATTCTGGCTCAAGCACACTTCGTTTCGTGCTGGGAGCCAGTTTCTGAAGCAATGCTTAAAGACTAGATGAAAATGATGAACGCGTTAACTCCTAAATTGAAATTTGGAGGCATTTATAATCACCAGAACTATGTGAAGTGCTAAAATGGCTTCGAACTTGTAAAACGTGTTGTTTACGTACGTTTTCTTAACAGGTACAAAGTAGGGCTGGACGACGGGAAGTCCGAGGGGTGTCACCCAGTTGATTGGCCGACATCTGATTTTCGCCACTAGCTTAGCACAATTAGTAAACCAATCTTGGATTTCTCTGGTTGCAGTGAACATTTCCCGTAAGCTGTTTTATAATCAAAAAAAGTGTGACAAGGATTTTTGAAAAAAATAAACCAGTTAGGCTCAAATTATATACACCACGTCCCAACTGGCAGTCCTAAATACTTTTATGAAAATTCTAACTCTAGTTATATGGAATCACAGTTGTATGCTTAGCCCACAGTCGATGCTACCTATGGGAATGTCAAAATTTATCAAGAAGCAAAAGCTGACACTTTGTTGAAGTAACAAACCAATGCCAACGATTCGAAAAATTAAGTACCTGAAAAACACCTTTTGGACAAGGTATGAGGCCGCGATGTGGGCGTGTTGCTGTGGAAAATCATCCAGATCTTGCAACTGTCGCAATATTTGCAGTTGAGCTCCATACTTGGTTACGCCGTACACAACTGTCATCACAGTTTGTTTAACTACCTGTAGAATCAACACGCAAATGAATTCATCTCTTGGCATTGTTTATGATGAACTTTTTTTTACCTCAATGGCTATAGGTGGACAATGGTTACTGTCTCTGGTGCTAGACGTGATGTTTTAGCGAATGGCTTATAACTTGCTACATCATGCATGGCAATTTAGGCTAACAAATGACTTCACTCTATGGTACTGTTCTATATATATCTATATACGAGGCAAAAGCAGTCAATTTTTTTAGATTCTTTCCAAGTAAAGACAGATAAGCTAACTATTTTTTTGCCTGTCATAGAAATATTAGTTCTGACAGACATACTTACTCGATACAATCCCCATTCACGTCGATTACAACCTTCCTTTGGTACCCAAATCTATCGTTTCAAGGAATTTTTTTTTTGATCATACAAAACAGCCTTGACGGCCAGTCGATGTTGCTGCAAAATGAGATTTGTCGGACATTTCAGCGCATTCAAATTTGGGTCCTTTGTCCAAAATATGTTCAGGCACCCAAGGACTAACCGGCCAGTATGAACTGGTACAGCATCTCGCTTAAAGATGTATGACGTTCCCTCGAACATGCCATCTATCTGTGGTCATACGACACTTTGTGGAACACAAGAACAAGCTTATTTGTTAATGGTTTCGCCTTCGCGGAAAAAGTATGCCAGCGCCATGTCTTTTTACTGAACATTAAATTTAGAACCCGTACATTGGTTACAAATTAAATTTTTCCCTAATAGGCATATCCTCTGGATAGTGAACAAGCCAGCGGTCGCTTCTGCGACTGATTTTTACTTCGATGGTAAGCGCCCTTTCCTCAGAGAAGAATCAGAATCCACATGATTCTTTATCTACAGAACTGAGGGACGAACAACATCGAGTAGATTTCAAGTTTTAAGCGACTTCAGAACAGCGGAAGGGTCAATACACACGCTCTTTTCGACGGTGTTAATTTACTCGGAAGTCCGCACTGTTTTTTTGCATGGGATGGGCTTTCGCTTGTGCTGTACCTTAACTTGCTTCTGCCTCTTTTGCAGCAGCGTATTCGCTTGCGATGGAACCAGCGTCAATTTGAAATTCTTGAAAAAGTTTAGTATTTTTAACGTTCCGTTTAATACGAAAAGAATGAACAATACCTAAGTTTGGTTCAATGAGCACCTTTCTTTTGATGTGCCCTTCGAGAATCTGCGCAATGAGTACTCCGCTGTCAGCATCCTGCTTTCTTTGCCGTTCAACAACCTCAGCAATTCCGCTGTACACATCCTGAGGTAGATTCATTGGCCGAAGATTTACCTAGAAAAACACAGTTGGTAGATATCCGCAGTCCCCATTACTAGTACATATTAAATTAATTAATATCAAATGAAGACAACTGGCATATTGTTAGGTGCCTAATTTTTAGTTCACTCTGAAGATGAAAAACAGATCTAGTCGAGCTAGGCAGCTGTTTACAGGCATACATACATACATCCAGATACATATATAAAAATCTACAGAATTATCCATATTTTATCTTATTTATAAAATGATGTTTTAATTGCAAAATTAAAGTTCCACATTAGAATTTTTACAATACGTTTTTCTATGAAGAATAAGCTGACAAACACGGATGTTTTAATGGACAACTTATTCCATGAGCACTTCGTTCTGGGCTGATGCCTTTAGTTTAAAATCAAAATTGACTTGAGATAACCCTTTACAACTCACAAGGTCAGTTACTCGACAGATATTTTAGAAATGAGACGAGACTTAAGTGGAAAAAATTAATTAGAATGTTTGTGTATTTGGTTACATGAGGAAGCATATGAGCAGTTACCTAAATAGCTTTATGATAGACTTCGTTCTTCCTTGGCAAATCTTCATGCCAAGTATGCCTAACATAATTGTACCCTTAACGACAATCCTTAATTCGAATAATATACGAATAAATTCTACACTAACCTGCTCTGCGCCTTGAAGATCCCTTCCCAGAGCGGCGTAATGCTGTAGACCATTACAACTGCCATCCTGATGGACGGGAAAGTGGCATACGTACTCAGAGGGGCCTTTGCCGCAGCGTAGAGCGTTGGCCACCTCTTTACAGGCAGCTAACGTCTGCCACGGCTCATCTGATTTTTGCCACCATCTGTGTAGAGGTAGGAATTTGGGACGTACATAAATTTAGCATCATAGTTGTTTTATGGTTCATTGCATATTAAAAAATTCATGTCAATTAATAAGATACGTACTTCCTGCCGGTAAACGGATGATCTGCTGAGTCCAATATATCGCTCGTAATTTCCTCTGCGTATTTAAGTCTGTCAGCAACAGACTGTCTCTTCAAGAAGCCCGTCAGGTTGACTAAATGTAACTTCAGCCAATTTAACCCTTTAGGTCCTAACGGTTTGCCCTCGGCGAACATCAAACAACCACGCATGACGTCACTGCCAATATGACTAAAGTGCGGGGGGCACGGATACACTCGGCCTCTGTTAAATCACACAATATAAAATCAATTATCTGATAACACAGCCTACTTGCTAACAATCCTACGAAGCACTAGCTGTTGATCTACGTTTACTAAGTTTAGAGAAAGATAGACATGGATCGTAGGCGCGCTCACTTCTCTATTAACTCTTACCTTATTTATCTATCTAAAAATACACTCATTAAGCTAAGCAAAGGATTACGCCGAAATAGTAGGAAAATAATTCGCTTGTTAAAATACATTACCTGAAGTCCATATTGTGCGGGAACCAGAAGATGTTATCTTTGAAATGGTTGGCAATTGACAACTTGTAAAGCATATCACACCATAGCGAGTACGCTTCCGCACATTTGCGATGGTATAAAGCAAGCTCCCTAATGGACTAAAACGGAATCAAATAACAATCACATCCTAAGATTAGGCTTTTTCTCTATTAGAAATTATATTTTTCTGTACGGTATTAACACTTTAAAGGCTTAATTATAGTCGCTTATTGGATAACTAATCAAGTCAGCTGCATTTTAGAAATGTCTTATAATTCTCGTCAATGATAATAGTAGTAATAAAAACAAATGACTAATATAGCGGTGATGATTTAGCATTACGCTTTTACCATTCATCCCTTCTATTTCTCTTGTAGGTGCATTACTGAAGTGGTTTTATTAATTGATTTTTATTACACCTCGTACTCACATACCTTATATTTATCTTGTTTTAATACTGAGTTGATAGAGGGTGGCATTTGAATAACGGTAGGTGGCTGAGGAATATCGAGCTTCGGGTTGCCATTATTTAAAAACACCTAATATAGACAAAGTCACAAATATTCCAAATTAATATTGTACAGATTGAAATATATAACTTGAAAAAAATTTCACCAAGATCGGATGGTATACATGCGAGTATATAAAAATATATTTAAAAAAACCGCCAAACAACTTAGTAACAGCTACAAAAATAACAACTAACAAATCGTGGAAATTTTTACCTTCACAAAACTTTGTTCAAAGTTTCGCATGTTGTTCAAATGGCACGCTCGTCATCTACTAATCTTATGAAGTTACCTCAGTCACTAACTGCAACATAGGCTTGTTGATGATCCATGGACATTTCGAGAGAACATTGAGTGCGTCAAACGATGGGAATAGATCTTCACGTGGAGCCTTCTCCACGAGCTCTCTTTGGCTGCTTCCTTCGTATGGAAGCCGAATAAAAGGCACTTGAGACAGAAGGAGCGGTGAATCCACTGGATTACACCATGGCCGGGGAGGGCACAGCATTGGGATCATCTGCAAAAAACGGGAAGACTTCCAGGACATTATACACAGAATAAGAAATTGCAACATTATAATAATCGGGCTTAATCATTTCAATTACATTGACAATGGATTATTCAGGAGCATACACCAATTAAGTAGGTAGTACCGATTAAGCATCAATTAAGTAAGTAGGTAGATCAAGAATACCCTGTAAGTAATAATCACTACCAAAGGGGTGTCGCCATTACTCAAAATGGATCCAACCCACTCTCAGCAACTACATCATCTGAAACAACTGATGAGTAACTCAAATCATAACAAGAGTTTTTAAAGCTTTCAAACATCGAAACGGGTCGGCCCGAACTTACATTTAAGAAATTTACTTTACCCACTAATTCAAACTCAGACTTTTGTTTTTCATTTTCAAGGTCTTCTATATATACGTGCTTTACCTTAATGGGTTCAATTTGCGCTAGTGATACAAAATAATGTTAACCCAATGGCCTCCCAGAAACCACTTGCATAACCGATCCGTCTTGCGTCATTTTGCAACGTTAAGACCAGCCTTACCAATCAGTTCACGTACAAAGATGTACCAGGTCGTGGGCTATTTTTAACGTTGTTTCAAGAGCCGTATCTTTGACATAGGCCCACAGGAAGAAATCGAGAGGAGTCAAAAACAGTACCGAAACGACCGCCGGGCGGCGGGATCAATTGGCAGGGGAACCGTGTTCCAAATAGATTGATTGCTTCGTACGCAATATAGTCGTCCCCGTTTATTGGAAGCAAAGGCTGTTTGGATCCACTGCTCTCAACTCGGTCCAACCCTTGCTTAAAAATGAACAACAGAATGCTCCTTGATAGGCCGAGTTAATGGTCACGGCGTCATATTAAAATCATTGGATCGGCATCTACGCTGTTTAGCACAACAACGTTGTTGCGACTTCGTCGTCCAGTTGGTAAATTTCCCTACCCTAGTTCGTCTGCGAACGAATCAGTCTTTTCAAATTTTTTGAGCAGAGTTCGTTTGCTAACGAAAAACGTTCTCCGTGTTTGTTTCGTAATCTTATATCTTATTTCGGCATAGGCTGTATTGTACAACAAACAGACGTTGTTCCAAATGGTAGCTTTTCATTAGGCAAACTGCACACCAATTATGTTTACTGCTTGATAATCGGCATTTGTTGATCAACACAAGCAAAAAGGATAACATGATCGTAACATATGTAATGCGCACCTAAAGGTATTAGATTTTGGATAAAGTCTTGACAGTTTTTACGCCATGATTGAAGCAAATATTTTTTATGGTAAGACAATATATTGAAACTATGATATAAAACATCTTGAGAAATTTCGGTAACATGATAATACCATCGCTATAGAAATTTTATGGTTTCTGAATTACGGAGAGTGAAAAATAACTTTTGCATTCTGTCATGGGAACTAAATTAGTCTAGTTAGGAGGATAGTCTGATGGTATAATATCTTGATTAGAGGGCAAATGCATTAAAATTTTTCATCCACGTTCTCTCAATTTCTGCTGGGCAACTAAATTGTGTATGTGGTCTGACATCACTACAGAGGAAGACGGCGATCGATTTTTTCAATGGCTGGTTGTAATCCTGTTAGTCGTCGATAATAAAGACCGAATCAATCATCTGACTAGGTCGCTGTAACTTATAATGCGCGATTTCTTTCCAATCCTGCCAACATATAGGACTTCCTTGTATGCAGGTTATGGAGCACATTTTTGTCTTTGTACATTATTGTCGTACGTGAACGGCAGAACCCTCTTCAGACCATTTATTTCGACGCATTCTGACCATAAACAGCCTTCATTTTTTATGCGTCTGCGGTGCATTTGTGTTTTTATCGTGATAAAACTAAAAACATAATAAGAGCAATTTCACTCACTTTCAAGGCGCTCTATAAAAGTGTGAAGAAGTGAACGATGAGAAACGACTTTGGTGCATTTATTCTGTCAAAGCTCGGTTTTCAAATGCCACCAACGACCATCCGATGCAACGATACATATGACTTTACAGCAATCTAGGCAGAAAAACCGTCAATACTTTTTGATCACCTAATATATATGTATAACTTCTTTCCATTTAGAATATGGGACAGGCTAATAATGATTCAGTGACAGCCGCATAATAATTTCGTTAGGATACTAAGTACACAGATAACAAATAGATTGAACTTCAGTTAAAAAATTACAATAATTTATTGATATCCATATGACATTAACTGCAATGTACTTTAAAATGTAAGCTAGAAGTACAAACGACTTTTAGCACTGGCTAAGTAATAATTAAGCTGAAGACTCAAAATACTCGCCTTGACATCAAAGTATAGGTGCTCCAATTGGGCTTCACGATACAGTTTGGCGAGCGTTGGATGGGGCTTCGCTTCTTCCTTTTTACCCGTATGATTTTGATGGTCGCGGTATATAGTGTAAATAGCATTAACCATTACGGCTGGCTTTGCATCACTTTTTAGAATGTTGATGTCTATTTGAAGGTTGCGGAGCACTTGGTAAAGAAAACGGCCCACACCAATGGTTATTGATCTTGGCCATTGGGCTGGGCTTAGCTCCTCCACAGTGGGACCCCATAATGAATGACGGCTAAGCAGATCTTGCCAAATTTCCCGGTCTGGGCAGCTTTTCTCCGAATCGTAAGCCTAAAGCAAAATTAAAGTATTCGTCGTTGTAATAGGTAAAAAAAATTTACCTTATATATATATATATATATATATATATATGTCAGGACATTGTTTTGTATCGGGATCAGTTATAGCTTCTGCCTCAGTACGAAGATATATTGCTAACTATAAAGTTTGTTATGTTTCGAACACCACATAACTTTTACTAGTGAAACTTCGGTGAGCACATGCGCTTAGAACGTTTTTATCTTCTCTTTCAGTTAATAATTGGTACACGCTATCTATATATTCGTTGATATTGTAATATAACTCGCAAGGATTTGAAAGATACGAAAACTATTGCCAACCTTAGAAGACAGTAGACATGTTCAATTAAAAAATTACGTACCCGATCGAAATTACGTGCGTAATTTCGGTCGGGTACGTATCTTAAGAAATAAGATTTGGAAATTTATTTACAATAGTTTAACACTCGTAATTCAGGCCAATTGGAAAAGTAGTTTACATGACCAATTACATCAGAAATAGGTTCAAGGCAGACCATCCAGGGATATTGAATAGGATAACAATTTGAGGAAATCGTGAATATATATATTAGATTTTATTTTTTCTTTATACCTCAAGATAACTATCGTAGATTGCTTGTAATTTAGGGGTAATTCCATATTTCGTTTTGGCACTGATGACATACCTGAAAAACGTGAGAAAAAGAAACGTTTCGAAATCTGAATGAAAGTACTTCCCTGAGTTAATCAGTGCATGTTACTGCAGACAGAATTGTACTACAAGTAATAATTCTCTGTTTTTTGAAGAACTAACTATGATTTTGCCGTTTGAAATGTTTAGTCTCACTATAATTAGGTTTAGACTCCCCGAAAAATCTATTAATGTATATGAAACGATAAGATTTGTAATTAATATTAAGTTTAAACGGAAGCATTAAAGTGCAGCAAAACAACGTTGACTATCGACAGTTTCTCTATATATTAATGTATACGATAACGCAGATAAGAGCCTTATCTTTTCCTTATAGAATACAACGTGACACGTACCTGTTACGCCAAGCGAATGGATTTTCCGAACAATTTTCAGGACATTTTGTATGAATATGTCTAATGGGCAACTGAATGGAGTACTCACAAATCATTCATTCGTTGACCAAGCTGATCGCTGAGCTGGTTCATGCTAGGACTATACGTCTCCGATGAAAGGGCCATCGTGCGTATCTCATGCAACAGTAGAGTTACGGTAGCCTGATTATTTTGATAACAGTGAAGATAACGCATTCAATTGGTTGATTATGAAGGTATCTATATACATATCTGTCGTGATAAAGCAAAAACATATTTGTTTGCAAGAACACTTTAATTTAAAAGAGATATACCGCTTTAAGTCAGCGATCCGTTAAATATGAATATGTGACTATTTACACAACGCGACTGCAATTCTGTGAAATGCCAGCTGCACAGAAACATCTAGAAAAACAGTGAGTTCTCAGAGGACATAATGGTAATCGCGTGCGATCACGAATCAGTATATCGAAGAAGATCACCTTTGGGTCAAGTGCTCGAAGGTAAGGGTAAAGGGTCATTCCACTTTTCAATTTTTTATGATTTTCCAAGTTACGTAGCTCTCGATTAAAGGCTTGGCGAATATCATCAGACCATTTTTCTTCAAGGGCTGCTACCTGACCGCGCAGAAATTTCACATAAGGAGTCGGTTCCTTAGACGCAACTACTGATCTTATCTGTAATTAGTTAAAAAAAGGTTCTGACTAACAAATTCGTTACGCACAATGGTACAATGTAATATAAATTTTAAAGATAACTAATTTTGGCAAAAACCATTGCAAATAGGGTTTGGCTAATTTCAAATGAAATAAGAATATCAAATGTTAACTTAGCCATGTTTGACAACATCAAGGTTATGTGGAATAGGCAACATACAAAAGCAAAAACTGTTGTAAATAAATGTACTTTACAAATAAAAATGTTAGCTTTGATTAATATATTCATATATAACGTTCATTCATTATATTCCTATGTGTTATTTAACGCAGTTATTTTACCACATACGTATTTTTACCTTAACCAGCATATTTAATTCGCGGTTCCATTGTTCCCTTGCGCCGTCAGCCATTCGTTTTAACGAAAAGTTTTTTGCTTCATTTGGGCTGGGTCTAACTATCCCGCGTTGGTTCAGATGCTGCAGAAGATCACAAGTGTACTTCATCGGAAACGTCTTAGCTGGTACCTCAAAATCTGCCTGTACCTTACGAATTGCTTTGATGGCATTCTCACGCTGAACCTAAAAAGCACCAATAAACGCTACGAAAAATATTAGCTAGCATTTAATTCGCCTAATATTCTGGCAGATATTTGCTGTTGCTATGTTCATTAGATATCGCTCAGTCTTGTATTAAATAACTTATAAACTTAACTTTTTCAGGTCAGAATTCCTAGTAAATTAACTTTTAAGGCATCTTTAAAATCCATTACTGTAAAATGCTTTTGGGTATCATTGGGTTCTAACCGGAGGTAACGGGGTCAATGTATCAGAGTGAAAATTGTCCTTGTTAAAAAAAACTATATTAACTATACCTTGGTGAATACAGTTTTCTGAAATAGCTGTTCAAATGTAATTTTTTTCTCGAACATCATGCTAATTATCTTAGAAATGAACTTCGCGTCTCGATCTTTGCTGACCGCAAGCAAATAGGAAAACGTGCTTGAGTCAAATGGAACGCCACAGTCAGCCATTATGCGTCGAATCATCATTGCCTGTCACAGAAATAAGAACAAGTAAATCATTAATAGTGTGGTATCACTAATGAAGTATGACACTGCTTTACAAATTGGAATTAAAGTTCAATTTACATAACCATACAGCTTACATTTGATCTGCCGCTGACGAATTCCAGAAAGGCCTTGTGTACCGTAATAAACGTAAAATAACAAGCTTATGACGTACCCCAGAAAAGTTTCCCGTATTGGCATATCCCGATAGTAGCGAATTGTATACGCCTGTCGGTATTGGGTGATGACCTCCCTTTCCAAGTCTGTGAAATAATATACAAAACAATTTACGGTGATTATTCGTCTTTTAGAGAACGTAATTAACATTCTATAGTCAAGTTTAAGTGTCTAACCAGTGGTGCATATTGTTTACGAAAACAATGTATACTCATATGCTTCTGTTTCACTCACTTCAACTCTAGCTTCCTTCGATAGTAGTGTAAAGTAGCAATGGCTTGAGATAGTTCACCAGAAAGGACTGAAGCCTCAACAAAACTTTTCAACGAATGCAACACCTACAAGCCTCACATTACAAACGCAAAAACAGACCACGTCAATTATGCAGGCGCCTAATGTATGTCTATATCGATTCAATCGGAAATATTATTGTCCAATTTTTTTCACATTACGTTTTTTGTAACGGCTATTTAAGAGATCACCTCAATTTATGCCCTCGAGAACAGAAGTGTTAAGTATAAAATACATATTTCTCTAAGTTGTTTTAATGCAGCTTGATTACATCGTCTTGTAAATACAACAGGACTTGTATGTGAAGCTGTTTTAGATACCTACCCTAATACTCGGATGTTATATTGTTAACCCGTATATATCAAGTTTTTGACTACGAATAGCGATGATGAGTAAATGAAATTTTATTTGATTTTATTGTGGTGCCATTTAGCAAGCGATATCGAATTAAATATTTATGAGGTGATACTAAAAATACATTAAAAACACCATGGCTTAATTATATACGACTCCCGAGATTCTACCTGTGATTGGTATTGAAGATTCCGAGCGTGGCAATCTGCGGGGCTACTCGCAGATTTATGCTTGTCTTTCTCGCTCACCTTCATCTTGCTAGTTTCTTTAAATTTTGAATTTACTGTCTCCTGTAAATTTAAATATATTTGCAACGTTATCACCTGACAGTCATTTTATTCAGTTTGTTCGTACTGTGAAACCCCTATAAGCTTCTTTGTTTGCAGATATTCATTGTCGAAAACAAACAGTGATACTAGCCGTAAAGATAATTAATGATTAACTTGAGAATTTTCTTCCTTGAATGGATCACAAATCCTTCCTTGTGGCACACCAAGAAAAGCCATTCGAATATCCTCAGCGGCACAAAGAGTATGGCTATGAAAAATTTAGGCAATTAAGCAGATAACATCAAATACGAAAGGTATTCCAAATTGTTCGGTCTACTTCGGCTAGCCAGCCACACAGTGACAAAAGAAACTGGCTAAAATCACTGTGGCTAGTGGGTTACTTTAACTGATGCGCTGGCGTGTTGAGCGTGGATCAGTCTGTCAACTACGAATACCTGTGTTTCTGCATAAATTCCATATCCGTCTTCATCTAGCTCATCCAGTTCGATACTATATTGCTCAGGTTCGAGCGTACCATCGAGTATCGCAGGAGCGTAGGGCGTCGAGGAAAGTCCTTTAGGTCCAACTACTGATAAGGTCGTAGTTCCATCACCGGAAACACCTGAAAATCAAGCAAAGAAAATTAACGCTGGACAAATTACCACTGAAATTCTGTAAGTTCTTTGTTTAGCCTGATTTCCTTCTTCTATGCACTGCATGCCTAGTAAAGTAGCAGCAAGATGATGAACATAATCCAAAGGTTCCTAATACGCACAGTTCTCAGTTAGCTGTATAGCGGTCTTCGTTCCTACTTACTTCACTAAAACAAACTGCGTTTAAATGCTACCAGGATTCTTTGGAACTTACTACTTTGTGCTTTGTAAACGATGTAAGAGCTTACCTGAAAAGCTTTAAACTAAAAACTGCTGTCATTATTCTAGTCCCGATTCCTTTATTATGCAACATACCCTTCGGCATCTCCCGTTCATCGATTTTCAAAGATGATGGTATTGTAAAAGTAATATCAGACATGTTCATCGATGAAAGTCCAAACTCTAACTTTAAACGCGTCTGATGCACCTCCAGCACCTAAAAATTCCATGCAGGTAAGAAAAAAACATTTGACTTATATATAGCGAAGCAAAAAATTAGACACCAGGCTGCCTTCCTACATCAGGATACATTCCATGTCCAAACCTGTTTACAAAGTTAATGAGTGGGAAATAACATTTATTTCACATATAGTTCTTCTCTGCAATTCTTTTAATATTCGTAATGCAACTAAGGTAATCGCTTAAAAATTATGCAGCCCTTGAGAGTTTCAAGGATGCCAGATGTATATATATCCAAGAAGTGTATTTCGTTTAGGACACAAAATAAAACAAAAACTATATAAAAAAAACTATCTTGAAGAACGTCAAATTCCTATTAAAACCACACAAAGCATTTAAGATATACTTAGCCTAAATTTGATGCCCATCAAAAAAAAAGATTGCAGTATTGCTTTAGTTCTTTTATATGTTTTATTCGGATATGTCTATATCAGAATGGAACTAAGTCGAGATTTTGCTTAACATCGTTTAAGACTACGCAACTTTTTGAGCACCCTGTAAGTCTACATAAATCTGCATTGTATGCATCTTATTTTAAGGTAGCAGATTAGCTAAACAAACATGTTGTCGAATATATTTAAATGTGTATACTTGTATCAAGTATATTTAAAACTAAATAAATTTGAGAGCTGATTTCTATTCATAAGAAACGGCCTAAATTATATAAAAATAGTTTTCTTCTACCATTGAATAAATAGTTAATATCATACATTATCGAAGAAAATTATAAATTAAAAAAAGTTCTAAGCATGATAAAATGTTTTTCTTGGTTTTTGTTTCTCTTCGTTATAACGTTCCCGTTAAGACTATAATAGTTTCGGTCATAGGTCATTATATGCAAACGTTCCTCAGACATACTTTTAGGAGCTTATCGTAGTCCTTAAGTGATACCCCAGAGGTCGAAAGTTGAATTCGGTCAACAACGACTTCTTGGTCGGAGTTCTCGTTGTCTGGTGAACCCAGTTTCTGACCATCTGAAGTCGTGAATTTGTGGTGACGGTTCTTGCTTGGCTCAACAGATTCTTGTCTTGAAGTAACTCCCCTAGGTGAAGATCCCAGTTTTAGGCGGAGATCAGTTCTTGCGTTTATGAAATTAGTCCCATTTACGCGATTTACGTAACCACCCATGCGGTACATTGCCTATGAAAACAATCAGGATATCGACAGGAGATGCTGAAACGAAAAGCGTGCTACCCGATCGAAGTCCCCTAAACGTTTTGCTATCGAATAATATAAATAAAACACTTCAGGAACAAATTACATTACGATACCTGGTAGACATCTACAGTTAATAATCACTTCGAAAGTTTATTTTTAGAACAAAATTAATAAACAGTTACAAAGTCCAAATAATGTCTGAATAGAAAAAAAAACTGCTTAGCGTATAGATGATTACTCATATGAGTCGACAGGTCCAAAAGTAACGTAATAGGGAAAAAGAACCCAAAAGATCTCTCGTTGAACCTTATGTGAAAAGATTACCAATAATATGATAATTATATATATTAATGAAACATGTCATAACAATAACTTATAACATAATAATAAAACTTGCCCGAGTGCTCAAAATGTTACTTTAATGCTTCGTTCAAGTGTAAAAGCTGTCCCCACTGTACATACATACCACAATCCCTATTTACGAAATTGCATAAGACGAACGGTCTAAAAAGAAAACTTAGATAGAAGCACAAAGTAAATAAAAGTGGATCGAATCTTATGCTCATTTGAAACATTCAGGTAAATTGGTCCCATTTATTTCATTATAATAGAATCAGGATGATACTCTGGCAATATGACAGGTGAATCTTATGTATACTAGAAAGTACGAGGCCACAAATTGAACAGAGCAAGTAACTTTGATTTTGTTTTTTCTATAATCGCGAGCTACTATAATAGAATACGACTAAGGGTATTTTATAATTGTTAGCGGGCTATACGCGTGGAACCTTCACCTTAACAACTTTTTATGCAAAACATTAACAGCAACATTAAGTGCTCACATAACGCTATCCCTCAAAAAACCATAAATCATACGAGGTTTTGTTGAGTATGAGTCAAGCGAAAGAGCTGGCCATTAATCGGCGCCTTCATCTCCGGACATACAAAGCACAGGCTAATTGAGTTTGATTATAATCACCCGGTAGTTCGCACACCGTTCGGCACGTAGTTGTCTTCCAACGGATAATATTATAGATATGTAAGAATTTTCATTATCGTAGAGTGCCCCTGGGTAAATCATTTGCGGATTTCACATGAGCATTCAAAAGCATCATGATGGTAGCGACGCGACGAGAACAACGTTAAACAACGTATCTACTAGGCTTTTGAGACTGCACTCGGAAGTTATTGGAACTTTAATGTGCAATTAGTGAAAAAAAATAAAAGCGACGACGTCGGCGGGTTCACGTGTTCCGCGCACCCACTACAGGCCGCATAGATGATCTATCAGCAACAAAATCAAACATTGCTAACAAAGGAAAACTGGTACAGACTAAACTCACTGGAGGTAATGCACAGAGCCTTCATCCACAGAAAAAAAGCACGGTTTTTCAACACAGACACATGTTACTCAAATGTGGTGACAAGGACCGTTGACTCGGTCACACTCTTCTACAGTGCAATACCTGCTTCTCCTAGGACCCTCCGAAATCTAAACGAATACAACCGGTCCATGAAAACCAAAACAGCGCGCTCGCCAGCTGACCAGTCACAGCTCACAATGAACGCATTCGCTAGTCTACAGCGAAACGAGTGTTGCGTGTATGAACGAAATCAATAGATTGGTAACGGCCAAGCAGGACTTGTGCCACGAGAGCGCCAAAATATAACAAATTCTATGAGAATATTAAATAACATCAACCATTAGCTATAAAACGCTATTACTGTCATTGTGCTAGAATCAAATCAGGCAACTGTTTTTTTAACGTGCACTGATAATCATAATTAAGAAGAATCAGAATACAAAGAAAAACTAAGAATTCTATAAGTCATAAAATCCACGTAGAAATCGTTGGTTGATATGGATACCTCTAGATCAGTCTAGTATTAAACTGTCGATAACCCATTATTATATCTTCAGCGCTAATTTTAAAAACAATGTATTTGGGGAATCGTTTCGGTATTGCCATGATAATCTTTCAGGAGTATATTCGGAGATAATAACATATCTACGTCAGGATATTGAGAGCGGAGGTATATATACATGAAGTTTTTAAAGTTCACTTTTTTTTACGATTTCGGCTATTTTGTGTGAAAAAAAGTTTCGCAGTTACTTCTTCGGTATAACATGAAGACCTTGCCTTTACTTGTTTCAAATACGACATTTTAGCTGCCATCATGATTGCACTCTTTCAACGTGTTCAACGAAGAATATCACGCAAAAAGCACTGCTAGTGGTATAAATTTGGGCCAGATTTATGACACTAAAAATTAGTGGGGTGGTTTACAGCCTGGACAGTCTACGTTTTTTTTTTTAAACTGAATATATATAATTATTATATCACTTGTTATCTGTGGAGTAAAAGGAACACCTCCGTAGATGAAACCAGATTATTTATTTTTAAATAACTGAACAGAGTAACCTTGTCAGAATATTGGCTATATATGTAAGACTCAAAATGGACCTACTTTTTCATTTTTTGTAGGCCGCATTTTGTCTAATATGCAGAGCAGACAGAGCTCTTCACATTATTTATTATACAAAGAAAGTTCCCACTGCTAAAACAATTATAACTATAGAGCACAATCTACCTGGTAAATTGAGTATATCACATAACATTCAGCTATTACCAAAAAAAAGCGACACCAAAATTGTCTCTTCAGCAGATTTTTTTTATATGACTTATATTTTGTCTAAAATTAGTTCAAGCATGTATTTGCTGTCCTAATAGCACAAGTTTAATTACAAGATCGGTATTAACGCTACTTTGAAGAGCATGAAAGACCGTTCTACAAGTTATGTAAGCTATCGTTAGTATTGCCGGAGTATATAATAAAAAAGCAAAATTGAAGCAGCTTTTTATAGTTTCGTTCAGCAACTTCTGTAATGAACATTTATTAATTACGAATAATTGAGAATTTGGTAAATATTTACTTACGTACGTGTCTAAAATATTCATCCCTTAAAGATCGAACACTTCTGATGAATAAGGTCGGTTTAGAACTGGTATATTTCGTACGACTATGACAAGTTTGTGTCCACTACGCCACCATCAATACCATGCTATCATCATGTGAAATTCCATAAGTATCGAATACTTCTCTTCAATTACATTGCTCTAAATAATCACACATGAGAGCTCATACGTGTTGATAATTTTGTATGTGTGCAATATATATTACTATTACTGGACACTATTTACAAAAATTGGTAACGCGCAATTTGTACATACACTTGCATACCAGTTTCTTTATTATGCATATGCTAATAATAAGGCATTAAAACTGGAACAAATACACTCCAAAAATTCTTGCCAAAGGATACACAGAATATAATTTTACAATTAAAATTGACCATTTGGCCGACGACGAGGTCCACTGAGCACGTGTTGTCCTTCTACAACAATTTGGTCGAAGACATCTCCACGTATCGGGATGTTTCTTTAAGTGACTGGAAATATATATATATAGTTCAAGCATCCTAAATTGAACACGAAATTTTCATGTATTACGCATCACGACCCCAGAGCTGCTTAATAAATGAACGTTAATTAAATAAAATACGTATCTCAAATTTTACCTAGTTAAAATTTAAGATACGTATTTAAAGAACCTCATTTTTATCTCTCTTACACAAAGGGCCATTTTGCTAAACGAATTTGATAGTAAATGAATATAATCCCACAAAATATTTAGTCTATACGCAAAAAAGGTTTGGTAATATTAGGTCAATAACACTAGCTGAAAAAGTACACCGAATCAAGGACCTCTTTAAGGTTAAATTCACCCCTTGGAGGAACCTTCCTTAACGCTTCATTAAACTTTTTCTTGACAATATCTGAACGAGAGTCATCTCCAGTAACCTCAGAGTCAAGAAAGCCAAATCGCTGCACAAAATATTCCGACAAATTTTCCAGGATCGGTTCTGAATGAAGAGCTACAAACTGTTCACGGCAAAGCCGATTCATAGTCTCTACCTGTAGAAAGAAAAAATATAAAATTAGAGTAAATCGTTGGCGTAACGGACGGTGATGTACATCATTTTGCATACTTCGGGCATGATGATATCGATTATGGTGCTAAACACTAATTGGCGAGCCGTAATTACGGCACAGGAAGCGAACAGACGTAGAATACGCTCACCGTAGACGGATGCGTCCAGAAACAATCGTGAACGGACGCAAAACTGATGCCGGCTGCCTGTGAATGAATTGCTGTCAACATCATATGACTCGAATCTATACTGTGAATGAAATTAGGCGGGAAGGCATTTCTCTGCTTCTTTACATTGGGTTTGCTGCTGTGATCCCAAAAGTCGACATAGTTTTTGTAAAGATTTTCCCCAAACGATACTGGCGACCTGTAAAAAGGATAATATTCATGCAAAGCGGTAGAAAATTCTAAACCTAAAATAATGCGAAAATAAGATGCAATGCGCGCATTAAAATGGACTATATCAGCCGAGTTCGCTTTCCATGTTTGAAACATAAAATAACCTATAGGGTTGCTAAACGAGATGATCTTTTGCCTATCAAGAATATTTTTTTAGCACTGTGGCGTACAAAAAACATAGTTCATTAACAGTAACAAGTTGCGTCAAAAATTATAAGCAGCGCGTTCGAAGCTGTTATACATGATTTGGAGGGTTTGTTCCAGTTTTCAGAGACCATAATCAGTCTTACAACTATGGGAAATACGTACCTTTTCTTGACAGGTAGAAAATAGGGCTGTACAACGGGCAGTCCGAGAGGTGTTATCCAGTCGATCGGCTGGCCTCTGATTTTGCCCACTAACTTCGCACAGTTAGCTAACCAGTCCTGGATTTGTCTAGTCGCAGTGAACTTTTCACGAAGACTATTTTATAGTGAAGGAAAATATAGCAAAAAGTTATGGAAAAAGAAAAACTATCGAGCACAAATAATCCTACATTTAACAAAAAATTATTATCAGTGGGCGTCTGCTAACCTATACCATCCACAGATGATTAATGTTACATAATACAAACGTGCATACCTACGTAGATCCGGCGCATTAGTTAATTTTTTCATCGGAGGACCCTTTAATATTAAAAAACAGATACAAACCTGAAAAGAACTTTTTGGGCAAGATATGAAGCTGCAGCATGGACGTATTGCTGTGGGAAATCAGCCAGGTCTTGCAGCTGTCGCAGTATTTGTTGTTCAGAACCATACCGAGTTACGCCGTATACAACAGTCATCACCGTTTGTTTAACCACCTATCAAATCGTGCTAATGTGACTAGAAAAATACTCTTAGCATTTCACAAGGTGTAAAGTGATGGGTATGAAGCCATAAATGTAATCCAGCTGTGCCAGGTCGAACACATATGACTTATAACCTATCTGTACCTTTCTTTTGATGTACCCCTCAAGAATCCGAGCTATAAACACTCCGTCCTCAGCATCACGCATTCTTTCCTGTTCAACAACCTCAGCAATTCCGCTGTATACATCCTGAGGAAGATCCATAGGCCTGAGATTCACCTAGGAGAAGAGGTTCAGTTATCCGAGGCTTGTCATAGACTGGAACTTGCCTCACATTGATATGTTCAGATGTTGCTCTGTTGCATATACATTCTACACTAACCTGCTCTGCGCCTTGAAGATCCCTTCCCAGAGCGGCGTAATGCTGTAGACCATTACAACTGCCATCCTGATGAACGGGAAAGTGGCATACGTACTCAGAGGGGCCTTTGTCGCAGCGTAGAGCGTTGGCCACTTCTTTGCAGGCAGCTAACGTTTGCCACGGTTCGTCTGAAGTTTGCCACCACCTTTGAAACAATACACATTGGAAAAAGCAATGTACAACTAGTGCTTACAATCCTATGATACTTTCAAGAAAAATAGTTTTTTGCCTCAGGAGATACCAAGCCCTGTCTTTTTAACCGGTTTGTATACTGCATTGGATCTTACAGAAGTTCCATTAAGAACTCAACTAGGTACATACCTTTTGCCGGTAAACGGATAATCAGCTGAGTCCAATATATCATCTATAATTTCATTTACGTGCTTGAGTTTCTTAGAAATTGACCGATCCTTCAAAAATCCAGTCAGGTTAATCAGATGCAACTTGAGCCAATTTAATCCATTCGGTCCAAGAGGTTTTCCCTCAGCAAACATCAAGCATCCACGCATTACGTCATTGCCAATGTGATTGAAGTACGATGAGCATGGATACGCTCGACCTCTGTTGAAATCGCCACGCATAAGATCAACTCTATTTTAATACCAAATCATAACTTCCGCAGTTGACCATCGTGAGAAATGTTTACTGTTTGTTGTCCATTGCACTTTTCCGCCATTCCGTATGATTCATCTCAGTTTTTTCCAACCTCAACGTCGTGCCCGACACTCTATATGTCAGTGTTTACCCAATCTGATCTTAATTCCAGTATCACGTAAAATAATACTTTCGCAAGGACCTCAACATAGTAACTTTAACAACAGAGTCATCAAACTAAAAATAGCTCGAATTGCATTAGATTCTTAACGGTATTGTTCATCTAAATGTTAAGTTCATTCATCGTAACTTCGTGCAGGATAGTATCACCTGAAATCTAAATTGTACGGAAACCAGAAGGTAGTATCTTTGAAATGGTTAGCAATCGACAATTTGTAAAGCATGTCACACCATAGCGAGTACGCTTCCGCACATTTCCGGTGGTAAGTTGCGAGCTCTTTCGTGGCCTGGAATAAGAAAATAAACAAGCGCGTATCTATATTTATATAATTCCACAATAAATTATATGTTTTAAAAGTTGAGGTCGACCTTTTGAAGCCCCGACAGAATTCAGTGAACGTAAATATTTTTTTTAAAGGGCCAATAGATGCCTATATTTATTCAACACCTATAGGTCCCCAAAAAAAATCTGCCAGATAATATTTTTATGCAAAATATGCGATTGTACAAGAAATACAGCCTCGATAACGAAAGTGAGGACACGCATGTAGACATTACGAAATTGATCTACTTTTTTCTCTGACAACATTTTATTTTATGATTGAAAGTAGGAGGCAACAATAATAAGAATTTTTTTTTTAATTTTTAAGCGAGAACAGCTTTTGCTGCAGTGGCCTTTATCGATTGCAAATACTGGATACCTTCAAAAACATGCATTATCACCTTGTCGTTAGTACCAAGGGTACGTTATACTTAACGGTCGAGTACTTATTATGATGTCCACAAACAACCTAGTTAATATATATATATATATTAACTATCTTTTGAGTCCTGCTTAAGACTCGATTGTGCGAAGAAATGTTACGTTATTATCCCGTCTTAAGGTATTGAGACTCATTTGAGACTCAAAAAGTTAAGATTTATCCAAAGAAAAGGCCAGGATCTTAGCTTTGTACAAATATTCTCAAACCTGTGCAACCATAGAAATTTTCTACTAATTCTACTTTACACCTGAAAATCTATCAAGAATAATTAATTGAAATATTTATTATTCAGCTTATTACAATCTGTTCTTTTTTTCAGAATCATCTTATTTTCAGAGCGAGACAAAAGTTTTCCTTTACGTACACAGGTCTTCATTTTTTCAACCGAGGCAGTACTTCTCATACAGTGATCTGGTTACATATCTGTATTATCTGGGTTACATATCATAATTTCTTCCATAAATTTAGATTTTCTTGCGAAATGACTTGGGGCGTTTCATGGTCCCACTGGACAAAATAAGATGAAGCTCTAGGATACTGTGGAGTTTATTAAGTTGAGTGATGCCGCTATGATCGACCTCGAGCCCCCAGACACTATGTGTGTCGAGGCCTTCCCTCCTCTTGGTCGTTTCGCCGTACGCAACATACGCCGTCACCGTTTTCGTCAGTCTCATCAAGTCTGTTAAAATTAAGGAAGCCTCTAATGGCAAGGAGACGAAGGACGCCAATAATGATGCCGCTACCCGATAAACCAACTAGAGAGCCCTACTGGGGCCAGGTGCCCCTACGTCTGGGAATGGCGTTCTCTTTTTTTGGATGCCATCTCGTCAGCCGATTAATAGGGGGCTGAAATATTTAGTGTATTTTTCTAAAATACATAATATATAGTGTGGGGGAACGGTCAATTCTTCATCCTATTTTTTAGACATGTGCACCCTATACGCCACCGTGTGTCATCCATGGTGCGATGAATTTCGAGAAGGTTCGACAGAGAGATAGAAAACGGCTCAGCCTAGAACAAGGAGCAACGGGGTGAAGCAGTAAAACTATCTACCACAAATATCGAAATAAAAAGGTTCAGATAATGTCGGCTTGTCCCCGTGATGGTGCAGTAATAAGTTGTTCGTCCACTATTAGACTTGGTTCAGGCTTGAAAACCGGTATACATAGGCTTCATTTTGTAGTGGAAGCAGTCAGGCATCTTAAGTAATGTTTAATGGCAATACCAGGCGAAAAAACTCGAACATTTAATACGTCATCGTCCCTTACGAGGCATATGCTAATGATCAAATTAGTCAATCAGTGTTGATAGCGATTTCATTGACGCCTGTTTCATAATCTTACGTACTTTATGCTCTTCACTCTTTGGTTCCGAGTTGAGCGGCTGTGATATCGGAAGGACACCTGATGGTTGTGGAATACCCAATTTAGGATCACCATTGTTCAAAAACACCTAAAAAAATAAATTACCATAATCCTCTACTTTTATTTAAAATTTGATTTGGGAAATGATGTCTGATCAATTAAAGCATAACAAGTACGTATTTGGAAACTCTGTATAACACATATCTTTAAAGAATCCATTACAAGTAATTCGATTAGTGTACATTATTTTCTAAATACCTTTCTATTATTCGCACATTCACAAATTAACCAATGTGTATAAGCTATCTGCTTGTGGTCAGTACTAGCCGAATTATTCAATTAGTAAATATAGGCTAACCATTTCTTGTCGACAAAAAAGGGTTACCTTAGTAATTAATTGCAATATGGGCTTATTGATGATCCAAGGGCATCTGGAGAGAGCATTGAGTGCGTCAAACGCCAGATAGAAATCTCCGCGTATCGACTTGTCTTTCTGAAAAGCTCTTTCGTTGGGAGCTCGAATCATAGTTACTTGAGACACAAGGAAAGGCGAATCCTCTCGATTATGCCACGGTTTCGGAGGACTCAACATTGGGACTGTCTGCAATAAAGTAAACTGCGTTTATAAGATTGCATAATTAACTAATGAGAGCCTGAGAATATCGTTTCAACGGTATCAGTAAGGACGAACCGTCATATGCAACAATATCGACAATAACTGAAAGCCCACTGCCTTAGATTATCTTAACGGTTTGGACGCGCTTTCATGGAGGAGAGCATAGCTTTATCTGGTTTTAATTTCGCATTAGGTCCCGCGATAATGGTGGCAATGATAGTGTAATCCAGTAAAACTCTATTTGCTATACTAGGAAGTATATCCACTATAATCCAAAGAAATTCTAGTTTATTTTTTTATATACATTATGCTATCAGCCAAAGTATTTATAGCTCAACAAGGTATGTATGACATACATTTAGTTTAATTTAATACAGTATTCGTAACTATATTTGTATAATGTTTTCAACTTAATATCGGGCCAAAAACCTTCTCTAGCTATCAGTTACCCTTTTTTTGACAGGCCTTGGCACCATTTCTTAGTGCTTCAAGGATATGTCAAAATGACGAACGAATAGAGAAAAAATGCACATATTTACGAAATTCTTGCCTTGATGTCGAAACGAAGATCTTCTAGCTGAGCTTCACGGTATAGTTTGGCGAGCATAGGATGGGGTTTCCATTCTTCTCTTTTACAAAAAGAAGAGCCATTCTTTTTAAACACGACATAAATAGCATTGACCAGTACACCTGACCTGTTATCACTTTTTAAAATATCGATGTCTAGTTGAAGGTTGCGGATTGCCTGGTAAAGGAAACGGCCCACCCCAGTAATAACCGACTTCGGCCACGGAACCGGACTTAACTCTTCGAGAGTGGGGCCCCACAACGAATGCTGAGTAAGTAAATCTTCCCAAAGCTCACGTTCGGGACGCGTTGACCGCAAATTATAGATCTAAAACGAGATTTAAGAATTCAAATAATAAGATGTTATTATTAATCCGGTTTTCCTTATACGTGATTTTACTTATTTCGTGTTAAACAGAAGAAAGGTGATATTTGCAGGTTTTTGTTGTTTTAGGAAAGTTCTCAGAGCTGATACAGCACTTCAAGCTTAAGACCAGGTTTCTGTCGGACTATTATTCGGACTAATGCCGCTTACGTAACGCTGTTTGAATATTATGATGAATGAAATCACCGAAAAGAGTTTATTCATACCGTTTGCATAATAACAATATATGAGTTGTTTTGTTAGCTGCATTGTTGACTTATCTTTTGCTCATTTATATTCCGAGGTATAAGACCCAATTTCAAAGACAGATCGCATGTAGATAGGCTAAGCTTGGTCCAGCAGAATGGTAGCAGGCAACGTCATTATTATGTGTATCCTAAAGCACGCAATCAGTTATTTCTGGCATTTTAAATTGATTTTGATATGTTTCTCTACCTTCAGATAATCGTTGTAGATTGCCTTCAATTTAGGGGTAACCCCAAGCCTCGTTTTCGCACATGTGGCATACCTATAAGCAATCGAGCAATAAAAACAAACAGCGATGACTAGCAGGTTTTGTAAACATAACGTGTCCGATCTTTGACGCAATCCTTCCCTGAAGAATAGACGATTCCTACTATTTCATTAATCATAATTGTGAAAGCTGGCATTACTCTGTCTTGAAATTTAGTGCAAGGATTAAGCAGGTGATGCAGACTTATACAAGGTGGACTTTATAATTTACCTACTCTCATGTAACCCTTTGTACGTACACCGCGAGGCTCTGCCATTCTAGCATGCTACGAATGTGATAGTGATAATTTATTTTGGTTCCCTTCACCTCAGAAAACACAAAGCTTCGACAAATTTATCCTATGTCGCTGTAAACTGGGTAGGACACTTACATGTCATTTATTTGTTGACCAAACATTTCGCAACGCTGGTTTATAGCGAGGTTACATGTGTCTGCTGAGAGGGCAATCGATCGTATCTCGTGTAGCAATAGGGCGACGACTGCCTATCATCGATGTTATAAAAATGAAACAAATTGATTACAGTTATTCATGGAAATTCTCAAAAGAATTTTTTTTGTGTGCCTGAACATCGAAAAAGCGAGCGAACGTTCATAATTCTGATAGTATTAGGTGAAGTCTTAAGCTAACCTTAAGGTCGAGTACGCTTAGGTAAGGGTGTAAAGTCATCCCAGAATTAACTTGTTGATGGCTTTGTAACTTCCGCAACTCTTTATTCAGAAAGAAACGAAGATCGTCGGCCCATTCTTTTTCAAGAGCCTGTACTTGCAGACGCAGGAATTTCACATACGGCGTCGGTTCCCTAACTGCGGTTATTGACTTCACCTAAAATATTAAAATAGTATCAACTAATATGCCGAATAAACACAGTGTGCATGAATGTAATGAAATGACGATCTGAAAGTCTGTCTGATTTAAAAAGAACTAAAAATTTTTGATTGTCGCTACATTAATTCATCTACTAAATTCCTAGCTATGTATGGAACATAACAATACTACAGTTCCAACGAATAGATTTTTTAATACCGCGCCTAAGGCCTGAAGTGCCTAAAGAGCAGTGACAATCTCACAACATGAACTTGAAAGTCCTTTCCAGAACTGTATATAGTTGTTCCATGCCATAACCTTCTTGAATATTGTGAATCTGACTGGAGTTCCTTCTAAATTAACATATTGGGATACTCATTTTCAGTGAAGTTTATAGAGAAACTTGTCAACAGCTCTACCTTAACGATTCCTCTTAGTTCGCGGCTCCATTGCTCTCCAGCTCCCTCAAAAAGTAGGTTCAATGGTATAATTTTATCTTGTTCGGGACTAGATTCAGAGACCTTGTTTGATTTCAGATCTTTCTGAGGACCGCATTTGTATTGCTCCAGATAAGTTTGCACTGGTGCCCGGGAATCTGGTTTTACCTTCCGAATGATCCTCATGATATTTTCAGACTGAATCTGAAATGAATTTATGCACAAACTGGTAAAACAGACTAGCTTTAATTTTGTTTTGTAGCGAAAAGCTCTGTGCGAGACAAACTTCAAAGTTAACATGGCCTTAAAACGTTGATCGAGGGTCACGCTCTACAATCCTTCAGACATACCTTGTCAATCACAAGCTCTTGACATCGCTGTTTAAACGTGATTTCGTTTCCGAATATAGCGCTGATCAACCTGGAAGACAGTTTTGGATCCCGGTCTATCTTGACCGCGAATAAATCGAAACAGTTTGTCACATCAAACGCAACACGATTTTCTGCCATTAACTTTTTCACCATCATGACCTGTCATGGAGAGAGTTACAGCAAACAAAGATTTAAACGAAGAATTAGGCAGGTAGCCTTTGGCACGCTGCAGTGATAATCACGATCTCCTGCAGATGGCGCGTTCGGGTGTGGGGAAGCCGAAATAGCCGAGAATAATCCTATTGGTATACCTTCTTTGTTACCCTTCAACTTTTTACCAATAGCAGTATATAATATGTAATGTGTAATCACGCCACCAAAGTAATTAGCGAGCGAACACGTAGGTAACCTACATGAAAGCAGGCACTTCTACAGAAGACTGCCAAGAAAAACAACGTACCCCAAGGAGGTCTCGCTTGTTAATGTATCCCCATAGAAGTGAATTGTAAATCCATGTCGGTACCGATTTAATAATGTCGTTTCCACATCTGAAAAGTACAACAGAAACGTGCATAAACTCATCATTGATATTGCAAAGTCATTTGTGTTGTGAATGTACCATAGAACTTAATCATTTGATACATAATTCTTTTAAGAATAAGAAATCTATTCTATAGAGATTTCTTATTATTAAAGGAATTGTCCATTATATTGACAGCTACGTGTGACCTGATGAAAATGGGTACACGTCAACAAAAAATATGCTGTTTATTGTGTTTACTTTATAAAGTAGCCTTTTTTTTTCAGGAATACTTAGGTGGAATCTAGGAATAATATAGTACTTATGCAATACAACCTTATCTACAGTTTACAGTATTTGTATCTACAAACTTAAGTGAGAGCTTCTTCTGATAGTATCGCAATGCGATGATGGCCTGCGTCAATTCGCCACAAAGTACCGATACCTCTATGAAGCTTTTCAGTGCCATCAACACCTGAAACTCGTAGAATCGTAGAAATATGAATTTCGTTTAGAAGATGCATCACCATATCTACCTTTAAAAAGACATCAATTTGTCATCCAAATTTCAAACTTCAATTACGGAACTTAGAAATACAATCCTCTGGTTTATGCGCGCTAGAATAATTTTTGAAATTCTAGATACACGCCAGCCAATGGCAACTGATCATTGACAATACATTAAATCTCACCGTTTCCTGATCTTGTAATATCCGAGAGCGGCGGACTGCAGCGCCGCTTATGGGTCTTCGTCCTTCTTTCAAAGTATGATTTACCTTGCTATCAAGTTTAGTCGCTGGGTCTATTCTCACCTAAAAGTTCAGCCAAAACCTTCTAAAACATCTTTATCTTTGTTTAGTATTATATCTTCTACTATAAAACATACGCCCTTTTAAACGAGGCTTTAAATTATTTGACGTCTACAGAATTCTAATTCTAGAACAATTGTAATTATTTATATAAAAGGATCTGACATTTGATGCCTCTTTTTAAGCTCGAACTAATTATATAATAAAATGCTGTTGGGTAGATATATCAGGCAGTGAACGTCGCCATTGGGTGCTAATGTTTATGTACATATGCCAGCTATACAATCAAGAACAAGTTCCTGCCTTCATCGGTTCATCCAATTCAATGCCATACTCTTGTTTGAATATCTGCTATGTTCTGATAATGCCGAAGAGGAAATACCTTAGCCGACGAAGCGTTGACTGAGGCTGTAGTTCCATTGTCAATAATGTCTGAAACTCAACAGCAAGCGTGTCTTCCAGCTTATAATTATTAAGCCTGTTTAAATGTCGTAGTCGCAACATAGAAAATATGATTCCGCAAAGGATATTCAATTGTAATACATTATGTCCCATGCACATGCTTTCAACAGCATCCGTGTCTGTTATCAAAACCATGTTTTAGCTCGAATTGTGTTTAATTTTCAATAGTCCTCCTTACAAAACATACCATTATGTAACTCTCGAACTGTAACCCCAGCGAGCTGTAGTGAAGCGACGACTGTACTTTCAGTAGGACGCGTCGATTTACTAAGTCCGAATTCTCTCAGTGTATTAGTCTGATGCGCTTCCTTTGCATAGATACAAAATATCACATATGAAAACACAGCTCACTTTTGCAAAGCTTGTAAAACGAGTACTTCGAGGAGGTCTATACTTGCAGTAACTAACTAAAACTACTTCATGCGTATTGGCGCAACAGATAATCACTATGCTATATTGGAAAACCTAGAAGAAAAACAAAGGCATACGCGAGATCAGTACGTAAACAAGTAAACCAATCGTACCTGGTAGTTGTGCTTATGTTAAATTATTGATGTAGTTATTGCAAGCTTAATGTAAAGATGGCACCGCTATTTCAAATGTCTGCTTAAAGGGCCAAACCGTCGACGCTATTATCTACTAACCGAAGCACGACTGCGTCTTTAAAACGAAATATAATATTTACACGGAAGATGTCGGTTACTTTTCAAATAACGATAGCTCATACGCGCGGTACAGGTGAATATAAAGGCAGCTAATTGCTCAACTTTGATTCCAGAAAAGTAGAATGATCAATTAAAAGCATTAGCCCTCGAATGAGTCGATAACGGCTGCCAAATTTGCTTTAGCATTCTTGGGAACCTAGGAAATAATATTGAGTATGCTTATGTCGATCACTGAAGGTTCCTGCCAGCCTGAAAACCAACGGCGCGTTACAAGTAGAAGACAGCAGGTGGTATATTTAAACAGCCGCACCCAAGAATCGTGACCAAATGTATCAATTAAAAATTTAGGTTAAGATTTAATTAAGGGAGGGGTCTCTAATCTTGTAGGTAATGAGGACGGTCGGCCTTTCGTTAGGAGCAATATGGTAGCAGTAGTGTTAAAGATGGTTAACTGCCATAAAATATGACATTAGAGTTTGAAATAGTAACGCCCAACAAACGAGGCACAAACTGCAGAGTTCTTACGAAAAAACACTTCGTTTTCTTTAAACTTCCTGCTGACAATCTTCGCTGACGACCCTTTATAAAAAGACGAATAACTAGTAAGCATTCAAAGATTTAAAATATGTTCAATCATTAACGAGAAATAACTGAAAAAAGTAGAATGTAGATGACCAACCGAGGTAGTGAGGTCATGATGATCGTCATGGGATCGGCCGTAAAGTTTCTTTTGTGATGTCATCCCTTGGACAGAGGCTTTTACGTTTTGATGGAGACCACTCCGAGCGTCAATTAAATATAAGCGGCCCGGCGATCGACACACGGAAGCACACACGCGATACATTGGCTACAAGCGTACAAACAGAAAAAAACGAATACTCAGAAAAATCGAACTCTACCTATTTCCAGGAAACTAACGTATCGTCAGTTAGAAATAGACATTATGCATGATCATACTGAAGTATGATTACTCTGCTTGCTATGAGAGCATGATTGAACTTCGACGATCTCGTATATTTCATCGATAATTAATCGAGTTTAGTTCTTTCTTCACAAACTCCTCATAAGTGCTTCGTTAAACTTTTGAGTGCGGACGTTCATTAGCACATATTTAGTTTCTAACAAGCACATATTTGGCTGGTACACCAGATCTAAAGTTTATCATCAGTGAAAAAAACATCAAAGTATTTATATATTTGATTTGTAGCTGTTGTTTTAGCTATTAATATGCTTAAAATAGGAGTTACAAAACGTATAATGCAATAGAAGCATCTCGATCGAGGTATAATCCTAGAAAAAACATTCTCTCGCTTTTAAACTATTGCTTCTAGAAGTTAGGCTGAATAATTCGTTTGAGATATATCATCTCACTATGGATGAGGTCCAGATCTGTATATAGCGTGTATAATTAGCATGCCTGACTTTTGCCGATTTTTGAGACTACGTCATTGGTTTCTTTGATGGTCCTTATACAAGCTGTGTCCATGTGGCATTTGTTCCGTGTACCCCACTGCTACATAAAAATTATGAAACAAACCAACGAACGAACGATTAGTTGCATTAGATAAATTTAGCAGAAACATTAAACAGAACTTCTCATCATAAAATGATTATTGTTCCAGCACTAAAAGTTCAAACTTTAGAGAAACATCAACCCGCGCACTTCGATTCTCGTTAAAATTTACAAACAACTAATTCCAAGCACCAACAACTATCCGCTAAAACTCACAATGAACGCATTTAATAATCCTGAAATAAGTACCGCGACTGCTGGGTCTGACACGAATTGCTATCGTTGTCCGTAGGAAATGGGTGCAGTACACCTTTTTTTGGAAAATAAATCTCTGTACTTCTTTTATATGTATATAGAGCATCTAAAGCAATTCGTCTGCGCCAAATAGGTCATTAAATTGGCACCGGTGAAGTTGGTACAACAAACTTGTTTTTCTTAAATATTAGGATCCTACAGCTGATGACAGCCACACTAGGTACATGTTTTGCACGTTTTGGCGGGCAACTGATACAGACATTCGGCTCAGAACTATCTGGCTTCGGAAGCTTAGGGATCCTTTGACCAGGACTGAGTGTTTGTTACAAATGGACGGTCTGAAACCGGCAGAGAGTCCTAGGTTTGCTTTGTAGTGCTATGGACAGTTTTTTGGTCATTTATTCGATAAAGTTAACAGCCTAGATTAGGAGTGTGTTGCTTGTTTGCCGTCAAGAAAACATGTAAAAACAAAAAACATATATTTCTCATTTGATCGAATTTATTAAGTTTTTATACAATTAATGATTAAAATTCGTTGAAAAGCTATTTTTGTTGATTTATGTATGAGTTATCTATCTGTCCAGCTTTTTCTAGCCATGCTATTTAAACTTCGGTAATTAGTATTTATTGATCCATCTTATATTTTTAAATACGCATTTTTTTTTTGTATAAATTTATGGAAAATATGCGTGTGCGGATGATTCGTTACGACAATGTAAATCTTCGCAAACACGCGTTAAATATTGCAATATTCAGAACATAAGAAGGTCTGTTATACATGCAACGTATCCTTTGCTCGCCTGCTTTTTTTTTGTTTGCTATATTATGTTGCATGTGTGCTCTACTTCCTCTGATTTTCTTTTATCCTTAATATTTATTTATTATTTTATCCGTTCTATATTTTCTAGCTTGATCAATACAGCTGCTGCTAAGATGAACCTCAGTTTGATAGCATGATAGTCATGTAGTTGTTTTAGAGCGACGTTGACGGGGTGACAGCCGACTGGTCCTTTCGCTGACAGAACCTGAAAGACGAAAAGTGCTGGCCAACTCTTTCCACAGACCTATCCTACACTAAATGGATCTTTGCACAACTTACAACTTATGATGACTTATAAATCTGCTACTGTAAGGACGCGTGATGATGCATCAATAATGCTATGGCGTTTTTCACGAATTAGGACAGTGTCTACAGTAATTTACGACAGAGTAACTTGAGGAGAATTTTTTCTTGACGTCATTAGAAATCCAGAAACAAAGTCGTAGATTAGTTCCCTCCATTTAACGGGTATGTTTAAAGAAATCCGCTCTTTGATAATATCGATGAGAATCGGGTAGAACATGGGTAAATTCGAATATTCATAATTCCATTACAAATACATACACACAGATATATATGCGTGTGTGTGTTTGTAATGGAACTATTTATATAGCATATTAATATATAGAGTAGTTAATTAATATATAGAGTAGCGTAGTGTGTATCTGGAACGCAAATAATGTGCGAAATCAATTAGGGCAACATCAGTATTCGAAATCATTGGAATTAAATTACACTCCCATGAGGTACATGCCAATCCGAACGGCACATTTTCGGATACACACTTAGATTATATAGGTGGTTGACGTTGACGTGTTACCAAAACGTACATTCATAGATATATAATTAATGACAAGAGATTGCTATCCTTGTACCTTTCTTCGTCGCCATACGCCTTTTTTCGCCACCTCCCTCCATTGCTTCCGTCACAGATTCGACTTATTTTATCGTCCCTGGATATTTTACCTGTGTGATCTACCACAGTTGTCAGTGGTGATTGTGCTACAGAACACCTTTCTCAGTGCATTTTCCAATAGGTTAATATGTAGATATTACTGCAAAATATTAGGCTGCTATTAGCGAATCCGGCAGATTTTGAAATTGAATGATTTTTGAACTAGCCAGGCTAGAATGATGATTTGACCTAACATGTGTTAGGGATGCTTTATTTTTTACACACTTTTTTCAACGGTCTAACAATTTCTGGACAGCCACATGCCTATGATTATACGATGTTCGCGTTCCCATCTATAACCCACCTATGATTTCCCGAAGTACAGCAGTAATGGGGTATACTTAACCATAACATGCCCCTTTTGAAGCATGAAAGGCTCCGTAATCACACTGATTCGACAGAGTAAACGGGTCGAAACCAGTGCTGGATATACTTTTGTTCATTCCAGCAAGTTACTGAGGCATGGCGATGAGGGCTGGCGCTGTCATTAAGTAACCGAACTGCAACATACTGTCGATTGCCATTCCAACGGTCCATGAATATTTTGAAGGAGTCGAGATAACGAGCTGCATGTACTGTTTAATTTTTGACGAGTGTCTAACTAAACATTTAAAATTACTCGTTAGCAGATGCCCCTGAGGTTTACTTCGAACTCACTCGACATTGCCACCGAATTCGATTTCTTCTCGAAGCGACGTCCGGCTGGCGGTTAATGTTGAACGACGCTTTGTTTATAACCACCGTAAGCTCCAGGCGGCTTTTTTACGGACTACTGTTCCGCATATTTTGCGTGGAATACAACGCACAAATTTCCAACTCCTCCGGAGTCAACTCTCAGGATTCAATTTTTTATTTAGTTTCCGCGTCTTCAGTAACACGTTACTTGTAAAATGCCAGTTTTGGCCAAAAGAGCCCTTAGATTCCCTGCTCTGAATGGGTGAAATGCGTTTTCGATAACGGCGATCCGTTCTTGATTTCCGGGTCCCAACATCTGGTTGTTTCCTCGTTAGTTTTCAACGCTCCATCCTCTGTTTGTAAAGCGTTTGTACCATTCGCGCCTTCGCTGAAGACCTTTTTGCCTAACATCCTTATCAATCTTCAATTCATTTTCGCAGCGCTGTAACCTTTGAGGCTTGACCGTTGGCAGTTGGTCCTCAGAGTAAAAAGACTCCTTTCTTTCTAACTCATCTTTCTTGGAGTAAACTCAACCGGCTTTTATTCAAAAGTAGAACATTTGAATATTCACAAATCGAATTTCGTCTTGTAGTAGTCGGCTAGTGGTTCAAAAGTTATTTAACTTCAATGCCCATCGAACTAAATTCGTTTGCAATAGACGAACATAGTATGTAGTCGAAGTGAATTCAGCAATATTGGATTAGTGTGAAGATATAAAATGCTCATCTAATGCTGTTGGTTTCTACATCTTTGGCCATTTGATATTTCACTATCATCCGAAAGTTCAATGATAATGATGAATGCTCGTAAGTAAATTTACCCAAAATGAGCATGCTTCCCAGCATATAGAACAGCCTATTCGGAAATCCCATTTCGTTCGTGGGACGTTGTCTATTGAAGTGTGTCATACCCGTAATGTTTGCTAATAAATACAAAAACATGCGCTTTTAACCTCGATACCGGGCGTAGGCACATTTCGTGTCGTGCTGGAAACTGTCCGTCTAAAGCACTACCAGACTTGAAACTTTATGGTAGTTCGTTTTAACACCGATCGGCGTTAAACGCCATTAAATCGAACGGTGTGCGATTTAATAGCGCTATATAGTAGTACAAACCGCGGCCTTATCAAAAATACCGGATACATGGCCAACAGACAAACGGAACTCTGATAGCCCAAGTCAACGAGAGCACGTTTGTTTCACTCAAAAATATTGCTTGCATGCTTTGAGGTTACAGTCAATGATTTCCCTATGTTAATTTCATACTTTAATCCTCCGCCTTTTTACTTCTTTACACTTGTGTAGGGTATGAAGTAAGCGAAGGATCTTGTCGGCCAGCGCGGTGATCCTACAATCTCCACAGCATAATTTCTTGACCATATTTTTTAAGGAGAATTTTGATTCAACAAATAAACAAGCAGCATTTTCCACATCTGATTTACAGAAGAACCCTGCATGTTTATTCTCACTGAACAATTGCTGAAGTTGGCCAGTGATCGAAGTGCCATAGAATGTTGTGAAAGCATACAGAAATATGGCGTGCAATTTGATCGACACTTCAGAGTTAAATCATTCCTTTCGAAATGAGGGCGATGACTATTTTAGAGTTTGTAAGCGTCCTCCCGAACTATCGGTGATAGGTTTGGCGTCGTAGCAGTTATATTAGCAATTTACTAGCTCGTCCTCAGGCTACATATATCTAGCAATCAAATGTAAACATTTTGTTTTTAAGAGCGTACTTTTTTAGTCAGGCCAGTATTAACGAAACCAGTTAGATTTTTCACCGAAGAGTGAAATCATAAGCCATGCCTGTATGATATTTGAAAATTCATTATAATAAAATAAATATAAGTACTTTTATACCTTAGTAACGATAATAAGCTCTGCATTTTTTTGAATAAACTTCTTATTTTAGAATGCCCAAAAAACTCAAAAGTATCCAGACAAGATAATGATTCAATCCGGCGTCCGGCGAAGTAATAAATCGCGCGGATGAAAAGCATACCGAGTGAAGAAAGAAGCTCGCTCCCAACTACTCAACTTATTTCAATGTCTAATGGTACGAGTTAATCTAACGTAATGTTTTACCGTAAATAGGAAATGCAAAAATTAAGGCACAACTGAACGACATTGTAAGAAAGTGGTTAAGGTGTCCATTTTTGCTCGTGTCGTGTCTGTAACCTTCGACGAAGCGCGGACCTCGCACTATAATTTTCGCACGCCTGAAACCTCTTCAGTATAAAACTGACCTGGTTCTGTTAAGCTATAGAATAGGCCTAAATAGCCACTCAGACCCAAATCGAGAGCATTCGTTAGGATGACATCAAATATGCCTTTTTTAATGTTGCTTTACTTTTTAGTGAATTTTTAATTCCCTTTGATTTTGATCAAGTACAAAAATTAAAAAGCCAATACATTCAAGGACGTTATTGCTCGGCGTATTATACTCGCCGAATCATTTTATGTAAGCGTTTTTTTTTTAATTTATTTTGACGTACATGGTAACTTTTTGATAGAAAATTCCGTGTTGTACAATATTTCTTTTTATTTCCTTAATTCATCGAAGTTTTAATTTAATGCCCTTTTAGTAAAAAAAAAACCCTTGAAGCTGCATAAAAAATAAAGCAAGACGAAGATAACAATTATTGTCGATAAATACGTGCTAGATCATTTTCAGCCCACACCAATACCTGATATAACTGTAATTTTGTTAATTTTAACAGAATATAACAATCTATACCAGATAGCCATCATAAAGGCCCATGTATTGCGCGCATCCACCAACCCGCGCATTTTATAATAATAATAATAATATAAACAATAATTAGCAATAATTATAATCAGCTGATAAAGAAGCACAATGTTATCGGTCGGAAACGGTAAGATTGAGAGAAAAGCTCTCTTATGCAACGGGTTACGTTATTATTCGTCAAAAACCCGCAAAAAGTTGGATCGATCCCAAAATCAAATTGAAGCTATGGCACGCACCTACATTGAAAAGCTCTTTGTCTACTTATAACATTGGGAAATACAAATAAATACTACTGGTGCCAAAACAATCACAGCACTTTTGGACAGCCGATCAGTCGACACTCACAATGAACGCATTCAGTAACTGCACATGAGTACTGCGGGCGTCGAGTCCAGTAAGAAAATTGCTTTCTCCGTCCAAATAACTAACAATATGGGCTAAATAGTTATTTTTTTTACACTCTTCTATTTACTCGAATAATGTTTCCTAATGCGTAAACGATGCACAGGAGCTTTGAGGGACCTGTGTTATAACAGATGTACAACCTCTGTCTGACGCGCCAATGTCATAACGTCGCAGGGATCGTTCTGTCAGCCGGCTCGGTGGTCTTTACCCAAGACGGCTCGATTTTGATCATGTACGGACGATAATGTCAACATTTTGCCTTTAAGTACATACTCGTACACTTACTGTGACCAACTTTACCTATGATGGTTATGTTTTTTATTATAATTATCTCAAGTCGGATCATCGATGCAAGGTGGAATCTTCTCCATTAAGCTGATCCGCTCAGTTCTAGTAACCACCGTATAATACCATAATATACAATACAATCGATCCTACGAAGTAAAGCCGCTTGTTCTCTTCCTATGAAGTCGGAATCTCGATTATTATGATTTAGAGCGATTCGAATTCTCCCGCCGCTTAATCTGTCCTGGTGAGCGCTCAGCCTCCACTCCGATCTTTTGCAGAGGGCGTTGCGATCGCCGGTCACATGACCCTGTGTTAGCCAATGGGCGCGTCGCAATGGCTTCCGCTGCGAGCCTGCGAGCGTCTGTGGGGGCCACCAAATGTCCGTTAGACGCTGTCCATGCGAAATACGGTGCTAGCGGCTGAAATCCGGACAAATCATGTGCAAAAAGTGACTCGCCATCATCGAAACGGATCGCCAGGCCAACTGCGAGCCCTGACTTACGGTATGCAAGCACGTACAGGCCGACTTTGGTCAGTTTAAGTGTTAAGAGCGATGGGACGGCCGCCTGGCGTCCACCGGCTTCGGGTTTAAGTAAAATCGCCGAATTCGTCAAAAAATCGTTGGAAATACGTGAAGTGCGTGTGCTGTGCGTGACCGCAGTATCGCCTAGCGTCCAAAGCGTTGAGGACTGTACGTAAGAATCGCGGGATTAAGTGTTGTTTGAGTGCGGCGACGCAGTGCTGTCCCTGTTGTTGGGCGAACAAATAACAGCGAGTTGTGGCAATAGTAGCAGCATCAGCACCACGATCAGAGGAATCTTAGTATTAGATGTTATTATGTTGCTTGCTGCTGCTGCTGCTGTGTGAGTCACTTGCTGCTGTGCTGATGGTGATGTCTGTCTCGACCGTGTCGTGGTGCAGTATAAACGGGGCTCATATTTTTGATGGTGTCTTCATAGCCGTTCGCCGGTAGAATGGACTGCGAACGTTTCACTGCGTGTGCCTGCCATGTCGCTGAACTGTGGCCAACGGCCAAAGGCCAACGACATGGACTTGGCCAATGGCGCCAAAAATCGTCCTAACATTCGGCCCGCCGGCGTCTACCAACCAGCGGCCGTGGCAACATGGCACTAGAGCTAAAGCGTACCATGTATCGCACCCGATGAGTAGTGATCTAGTGTGGCGCCGATCATCTGGCCCCGTTTCTCCTGGCTTTTTTCGGGCAACAACACTCTGATAGTATTGTATTGCTATGTAAACGACGACGGTTAAACCACGTAATCGACTGATGGTCGCCCGATCGTATCCTAGCGGCGTATGAGTGCGTGTCTGTGTGTACGTGTGTATGTGTCTGTCTGTCTGGGTGTGTGTGTGTGTGTGTGTGTATGCATGTCTGTGTCTATGCTGTACGTTATAGGAATCGTAAGTTGGTAACTAATAACTCGCTCGCTCGCGAGAAGAAACGGCGTTGGCACGATTCGTTATCCCATTGATTTTTCTACGGTTACTGCTGTTTACTCGAGGCTGAGATTTGCCCTATGTGCGCTTGTAGATGCGTGCGTAAGCGTTTGTGTCTCTGTGTGTGTGTGTGTGTGTTGTTTATCACCAAAAAACCCCCCGCCATCACATCTCTTAGGTGTCTGGCTAGCTCAGGCAACAGCAGCAGCAATCGCCGCCGCCGTTACTGCTGATGCTGCCTGCTCTATACGGCCGTTGTTGTGCGTCTATGGGTGCATTAGTACGTCGCCGAGAATTTGAAGGGTCAAGGTACGCTCGTCGGTTGTCATTTTTGGCCGTCTCGTGTGCTGTGTTATGGTGATGGGTGAGCCATTGGGCAGTATGATAGAGGTTGTTGATGGCGCCGTACTGCTCGTTGCCCGTAGCATATGAGAATTGCCCGGAGCATTCTGTCCGTCCCTAGACCCAAACTTACCAGTCTAGCGTTCCTACGGGACAACAATAACAACTACAACAAGCCGCTTAGGCTCGGCCTGAATGCTGTTATACAATGATGAGGATGGTCCTACTGCGAGGTTTCTTCTCTCAAAAATTTACGTTTTAACAGCTGACGATGGTGACATGGGCGTTTTGGCGGGCAACTTGTTTGGCAGCGGTCGCTTAATCGGAAGTTGGCTGGTTTTCTAAAGCTTAGCGCGATGATCAACTGATGCTGCCCTATGAAAGGCTAAATATTAGTTATGACTGGCAGGATTACCGGCACGATTTCGGCGTGTATTAATTACCATCCATTCACAAAAAAGAGCCGCACTGACTAGCAGTTTCATGTTGTGCGTGTAGCATATTTTTCCTCACGATCAATCTTGCAAATGAACGGACTCTCATGAAAGACTACACCTAATCACGAAAAACCGTAGGGCATCGAAAAAAGCCTTGAGATGGACGCCATCACCGAATTGAACAGCTTTGATCTAATTTGGTTTCGGATGCTAATAAGATCTTAAATGCAGCACAGTGGCGGCAACGCGATGGCTGTGCATGCCTGCAGCTATGATGGACGTTTGGGCAGTTAGCGCACGCGGTAATCAGAGACCTAAAGCAAAATATGATTAGGATGAAATGTATATGCATTTCAAGTCAGTTATTATGCTCTCTTAGGTGGTGCGGAATTGAGACGATATCTGTCTCTTAGGGCCAACCCGCTGGATTAGATGGAAAAATCGATAGTAAAAATTAATTACTTTCATGCGTACTAAAATTGATTTTTCAACATGCAGGCGGAACGGCGGCGTTGTACTTGAACATATTACGAAGGGACGATAGAATCGTTAATCTTACGTAATCATCTAACTAATACTGAAAAGGTAGCTCAAGCAGTAAAAACAAGTGACCAACAAAATTGATTACGACATCCTCTGCGACAGCATAAGTTTTATTTCAGTCTTTTCTGAATAAAGTTAGTTATGATTTAAAAATGTGTCGCGCATTTCTTTGCTTTATTTGAGAGCCGCTGTTTTGTACGCCCGCAGAAATGCCGGTTCACTCTCGATTAAACGACATATCTGTACGCACAGTAATGGTTTAAAAATTCTACTTGCTACCTCCCGCTAAATCGGTACGTTACGGTTACATGACTGAAGGCACAGTGATCATAAATGTTCTCAGAAATCCAAAGAGACTTGCAAAATTCTAGAATATTGTCTTGATTTTACTATCTTATATTGGTTTGAGTTAAAAGCCTACTAATCCATCAACTATTCCCCACCCGTTATCGGCACCTATCCGTTTTGCCTACAATTGGCAAACTATTAGCAAATTGAGACAGTCCATCTCTAGCCATGATATTTGAACCAATTCTATCTGGTGCGTCAGTCGTATCTGAATGCGATATGCTACGCGTTAAATTCGTAAGAATATCAGAAAGCATTTAATCTTTCCTTCGGTTATTCGTAACCAGCCCAACAGATTCGTTCACCACTCACTCGCCCATATTTGCTTTGTAGCAAATTTAGCAAAAGTTTATCCACATACGGAACTTGCGGGACAGAAACCTTATAAACTAACACGCTGTGCGTGCAGTGCAAGGTCTTTGCAATCCCATATGTCCCGCTAAGATAGTATTGTTGTTTCGGTAGTAAGTGTTTACACACGAGTAAACCTTTCTGGGCGTGCAACCATAGAATCCAGCTTCAAATCCAATTTTGGGCTAGTTTTTTGGGGATTTATATTATTTTTGTTCTTTCTTTTTTAACCTAGAATCTTCTCTTTATCTCTATGCGTGCTGCATGTGTTCGTATCCCCTATTACAGAAGCACAAGGATAGGCCGGGGCGTAAGGCCTTGGCTGGCGAGTATTGACTTGCCCTGTGCCGTCAGCCAGCGCCCGCCAGCCAGCCACGCTGCTGCAGTTGCTGCCGGCGGCAGCGGAGTCGCTGACGACGACGCTGCTGCTGGGAAGACCCTGACCTCAACCTGACAACCTCAACCAGCGTCGTCATGTCGTCGTCAGGGTCTGGGACGCCGGCGGCGGCGGTGGTGGTGGGCGGCGGTGCGGGTGGGGGCGCCGAAGGCGGCGGTGGAGCGGCCGCCGCAAGTGGCGCCCCTCCAGCGCCGCCGCAGCAGCTCCCGTTAGCCATCAGCAACCAGGTCCCTGGCAATGGCGCGTCTGTAACGGCCACTGCTGGTGGAGGCGTCAGTGCTGCGGGAGCCGCCGCCGCTGGCGGCGGTGGAGGCGACCGAGGTGGTGGTGGAGGTGCCGGCGGCGGGGGTGGCGATGAGCCTGATGGTGAGGACCGACCCGAGTGGATGACCCCGGTACGAGGACAAGTGTTCCCGCCGACGGAACCCGGCAATCGGCCGCATCGCAACACCAACCAGTTGCAGTACATGCTCAAGAATGTGATGAAAGCCGTCTGGAAACATAACTTTGCATGGCCATTTCAGAGTCCCGTCGACACGATCAGGCTGAATCTGCCCGACTATTTTCGCATCATTCGACAGCCGATGGATCTGGGCACAATAAAGAAAAGGCTAGAAAGCTGTTACTACAACGATGCTCAAGAATGCATCAATGATTTTAATACGCTCTTTACAAACTGCTATATTTACAATAAGCCGGGCGAGGATGTCGTACTAATGGCGCAATCGCTTGAGAAACTCTTCCTCCAGAAGCTGGCAGAGATGCCGAAACAGGAAATAGAGTTAGCGCTTCCGCCTGTCAAAGGTCAGAAAGGGCCAAAAAAGAAGCCTGGTCCAGTTCCTAGGGCGCTGTTAGCGCAACAAGCTCAGGCCAAGGCCGAGGCAGCTGTTGCCGCACAACCTGCGGCGGACCCGACGGTGCTTCCTCCGGAGCCGGTGGCCCCCGCCGCGCCCCCAGTGTCACAAACGGTGCTGAATGACACCAAAACAATCGTTCCGCTAGCACCTATTGCAGCTCCGGGTGCGACAGACCCCTCAATGCTACCGGGAGCCGTCCCGGTGCACACAACGCCTCCGACGATCCCTGATGTGGGAGTGATGCCGAACAAGGCCAAGAAGGGTGTTAAGCGGAAAGCTGATACGACGACGCCGACTCAGGCGCCCGGTGAGCTGTATACGCCCGCGAGTGGTACCCCACTCGTTGGGAATAGCAGTGCTGGCGGTGGCGGTGGCGATTCGAAGAAGATCTCAACGCGGCGCGAGAGCGGCCGGCCCATCAAGAAGCCCTCAAAGGACCTGCCTGACCAGGCGCAGCAACATAGTAAAGCGAAGCGGGTGAAAATGACGGAGCAGCTGAAGTATTGTAATTCGGTGATTAAAGAACTCTTTGCTAAGAAGCATTCAACGTACGCGTGGCCATTCTATAAAGCCGTCGACGTCGAAGGTCTTGGCTTGCACGACTACTACGAAATAATTAAGCAGCCGATGGATCTCGGTACGGTCAAGTTGAAGATGGAGCGACGAGAGTATCGTACCCCCGACGAGTTCGCCAACGATGTCCGGCTCGTATTTACCAACTGTTACAAATATAACCCGGCCGACCACGAGGTGGTCAAGATGGCACGACGTCTGCAGGATGTGTTTGAAGCTAAAATGGCGCGGATGCCTGACGAGCCTGAACCAACGGCAGTCAGCGACCAAATGTCACCGGACGCGAGCGACTCGGAACCAACGACTGCAGCACGACCAACGCAAGGGCCGCCTGCGCCGGCGACGACAGGTGGCCCCGGAGCTGGCGGCGGCGGTGACGCGTCCGACTCAGACGCGGCAAACAGCGACGATAGCGATGATTCAGCTGATGATAGCGAGGCGGAACGTGAACGCAAACTGCAGTCATTGCAAGAACAGCTACGCCGAATTACTGAACAAATTAGCTCACTCGCGGCCCAGTCTCGTAAGTCTAAAAAGAAGAAGAAAAACAAGGATCGTAGTAGAGGTGAGCATAGAGAACACCATCGCGAACATCGAACTGAGAAGGAGCACCATCGTGAAAGCGGAAAGGGCGCTGGTACAGCTACTAAAGACAATAATAATGCAGGTGGCAAAGGCGGTGACAAGGGCGTATCGCCAAGCAAGCCTGGTAGAGGTAAGCGGGGCGAAGGCCGTGGAGGCACAGCAGCTGCCGCTGCCTCCTCGTCTTTGGGACCGCCTAAGCAGAAGCGAACACGCAAAGACCCGCAGTTGCCAAGTACGTCCGGTCACGGCGCTTTCGACTCCGAGGATGAGGACAGCGCTAAACCAATGTCGTACGACGAAAAGCGCCAGCTATCGCTCGACATCAACAAGTTACCAGGTGACAAGCTTGGCAAAGTTGTACACATTATCCAGTCACGTGAACCCTCGCTGCGGGATTCGAATCCCGATGAGATAGAAATCGACTTTGAGACACTTAAGCCGTCGACTCTACGAGAGCTCGAAAGCTATGTTGCCCAGTGTCTCGCCAAGAACAACGCCAAAAAGCCCCGAAAGCCGTACGGGACTAATAAGCGTAAGTTTTTCACTGTGTTATTATTCTGTGTAACACTGTATCTTATTGCTAAACTTATATTCACTCAACATGTAATAGGCGTGCAAGCATCATTCGAATCTCGACGACATCATACAGACGAATTTAGAGCTACGGTGTGAGGATTTTCGGCGGGCTCCATTTGTATTCGATACACAACGGAATGTTTATCTCCCGTTTGCCGATCTGTCTGATCGCAGGAAAGAGCAAGGAAGAATCGGTCAAGGATAAAAAACAAGAGCTAGAAAAGCGGTTACAGGACGTAAGTGGACAGCTAGCGCCCCCCGGACCTTCGACCGCCAACGCAGCGGGATGCAGTAGCAGCAACAATGTGGCGCATCACGGCGCCAACGCTGCGGGGGGCGCGGCGACAAACCAAGTGGGCCAACCGCACAGCAACGCCGCGCACAAGCCCCCACATAAGGCGGGCGCCGCCAAGAAAGGTTCGTATTACAATAAATGTGACGAGAGAGAGCTATAACGAACAAATTCTATTGAAAAATTGGCTCCCGCTAATCAAAAGATTTTTTTCTGATACAATTGCAATCCTGTTTCGCATACTGTTTGTGCTGGTTGTGGTTTCGTGTGTTCATAGCCGTGCATTTTGTGTTTCGACTGGTTTTTCTCTTATTTTAGAATTGTCAAATATGGAGGCGGGTGCGCCTGCAGCGGTGGGCGGCGGTACCGCGCCTCGGCTCAGCGCCAGTAGTAGTAGTTCGAGTGACAGCGACAGCAGCACGTCCTCGTCGAGCAGCTCGAGCAGCGAAGAGTCCTCTGACTCAGAATCAGGTTAATAATTATACCAACAACAACCACTATCAACAGCAACAACTACAAAAATCTGTGTGACAACTGCATATAGATAGCTCTCACTGAAGAGAAAGAAATAGGGAAAGAAAGATCCCATGAAAGATGCGCCACAGCAACGATCCCGGCAGCGTCCAATAAACATCAACCAAAATAATAGCAATAATTAACAGTTACAGCATTCATAGCATAAAAAACGTGAAAGGAACACCTCAATGTAGATGAACGCCACCATATCGACAGCAGCAACATCAAAAAATTGATACGAGAACAAATCTTAGAGGGAAACTATGACCTATACGCCAGACCATACTGCGGAAAAGACGGTTGCACGACATTTTCCATGTGCCTCAGTCTATTCAAATGCCGATAGTATCTGAGCTGCTTATAAAGTAAAACTCAAAGGAATGCAGGACTCAGTTCTCTGGGCCTGAGTGCTTGCCCATAATGACAATACATGCAACAACAACTGGTACTAATTGAATTGGACTCTCATAATTATTAAGGTTGTTAGAAAAGTATTATTCATATTAACAGTACATCTTCATTAGCAAAAGACTGCCTTGTCGCTGATGCAGTTGTCACTATTTCGCCTGGCGTTGAGGTGTATACTAATTCAATAGTGCAACCGGATCTAAACTTGCAAAAAATTCCTAATCTCCTCCTTATTGGCTGTATCCGGAACGAATAATGCTGTGACGTACGTATGTACATGCACCCTATTCCGAGCTGACATATGCAACTTTGACTAAAATAAAACAGAAAGGCTGAACAAGTTTCAGGTGATCTCCAAATTTTAACTTCGCCACAAACACTAAGTGTGAGCCAGCGTCTGCTTGAGCGCTGAAATGCATAATATTGACAGCATACCGCACATCTAATCACCGCCCAAAAATTAATTGAATAATCACTGGTGCCGCAGGCCGCCGGGCTTTCGTGCGTATGCCAGTCCGACTTTGAGACTCATGATTTCAACGATCTGAGGATCTTTACATCTCGAACGTTGCAGTTTGGTTTCAAAAACGATGAGCCAATAACGATGTCTGTCGCTGTCTTTAGCTAGAGCACTGTCGACAGAGCGTGGATTGCCGACGGGGTTGGGTATAAATGTATGATGTGCTGTAAGCGAGGCAAATACCCTATAAGAGATTAAAGTTTCGTAGGCGCGTCAACCCAGCGACCAGCAAGAAATCCACCCAAGCCGACTGTTTTATCAGCAAGAACTCATCAACTACTACCACTGCGAGCGGGGTCATTTATGATGGACCACTTTGGAAGTAGTTGCCATGGATGCTATAGCCGAAGCTAAAGTCTGCTTTCTATGATGACGCAAACAAGTACCGCATTTGGTACATTTGTATCATTGCGTGTTGTACACTTTAGGGAAATAGAGAAAAAGGCAAGATCGGGGTTCAGAGAGAGAGCAAACAATCGAAATGAGCTTTGACTGCTCTCTGCCACTGGCACATCGCTTGAGCGACGAACTTGAGCCAGAAAAAAATGCTTCTGAAGACACGTAATGCGAAATGACCGATCTCTGTAGAACAAGCCCCAAAACGCGCGGTTCCTGCTACTTAAATTGTTTCTCTTGATAGCGAGAAAAGTGTCGGCCACATCTCTTTTCAGAGCAGCAGTTGCAGCCACCGTTGTTGTAAATCATTATGCTATGCAAGTAAATGCAAAAAGGGACGAATAATACACAACGTCGTCTAAAAATGATAAAAAAAGGTTTTGTCACCTCCCGCGGGGTGAGCGTATATATAATAACGACACGTCATCCTCGCTACGCATCCGACCAACGCACTTGCGAACAATTGCACGCTTGTTCGGATAGAGCTGTACTTCACGACGGGCAAACATTGTGCAAAAACATCACAACGTGTAAACTTGAGCTATCTAATAACAAGTGCGGCACTTTGTCTACTCTGCCGGTTAACCCAGGCCGATAACGCCACAGCCGCTTATTGACAGGCTGCCTGGCGCAAATGCGGATGATAGCAGCACAGGTGATTGTCTAAGTTATATATAATTAATATTATTATGATGATCATTATCAAGAGAAGAAACGAGCTGACAGAAAAGGATTATAGGGATAGAGTCACTTTGTATGTACTTGATCCTTTGTGATTCGCGAATAGGGTAGAGTAAAGGCCGGCAAATGATTTAAAGACGTCGTGCTAACATAATTAAGATATAATGGCACATACACAGTCATAGACGTAGACACACATGGCGATAGCAACTACAAAACCAATCCGTAATAAAAATAGGGGAGCACGGCAAACGGATAGTAATTTTTGGTAATTGGCTTGCCCGCTATTACACATATAGACACAACAACACAATATAGATGGCAGACAACGCGCTCTCATCCAAACTCTATTTCGATTTCAATGATAAGGATGGCCATGATAAAGCTCTAGGATGAAAAGAGCAAAAAGTGGGTTTAAGAGATTGTGGCGATTCAAATGAATGATCGCTTGCCGACGCGAAAAGGGTGAAATACTCACCTTTATTATAATTACTTGTACATAGATAGACTGATACTACCGACCGACTATATATATATATATATATATATATATATATATATATATATACTGCATAGAACGACCATTATTAATATTATTATCTGGGTTCTGCATAATTTGCAGACTTGTCATTCGCCTAATATCACCTAAATAATGTCATTATAATTATATTTACTAAAAAGTTCACGTGGGCACGCCTTCCTATCAGTCAGCACCGGCTTTGGTGCTGCTTATACTCCTACAACAACAATGTATGAACGTGCGGAATTATATCGAAAATAGTGTAAACTCAGATAGCTAAGGCGGTCATGAACCCATTGGTATTACAAATGCATAAGAACAATGACATACATACATTACCTCAGACACATACAAAATTACTGCTTTGCTATGTAATCAAATAATAATTATTATAGATGTAGGCTAGTTCGTCAAACTACAACAATGAAACAAAACGTACTCGATATAACATTGCTATGACTGTGGCGCGTGGAAGCTGCGGGTGCTACTATTATCATTATCACCATTAGAGCTATCTAAGTCCATCTAAGTGAACCGGGCAGCCGTGCGTGCAGCACGAACCATTTATCTAATGTAATAATAAGTATGATGGTAACAGTAATTATTTTATACTTAACCAAACCCGTCATTTTATAGCTACTACCCATTCTTTCTCCGCATGTTTTCACTTCAAATGCATATGCGCCGTGTGTGAGTTACAAGCGCCTAGCTACATATGTTATTAATAGAAAAAAATAACGAGCTAGTGCGGTTTCCACACTCACTCTAATGACTCTTCGCTTTATAATAAACATACATTGTTGTTAATTGCTTTTCGATAGTCTGCTAGCAGCAGATGGGAAATTTGAATTAATTTTTTTACATTTCATGCCTTCAGTATAATTGTCACACTGCAGATATACGCTCAAGGATACAACAATTGTACGAACTTAGTTCGTGGATAGCGACCACAGTTAGTTGTTTCATTGCTGTACGCTGCATAGATTGTCAGGTATTGATTACTTGGCCCGTCTCATCACACATATATTACTGCGATTATTATTATTATTGTTGCTTTATATATATATATATATATATATATATATATATATATATATTACATGTATACTGTATATTGTTCTCATAAGAACGGAATGAAGACACGCCATGTTATTTTGTTTACATGTACAGAATAGAAAGAAGAAAAAATCGTCAGTTTGTTTGCTTGCCTATCTGTCTTTGCTTGTTTATTTGTTTGGCCGTTTATTTTTCCATACACATATTTGCCCTCTTTCTCATATTCTTCCTAGTTCCTGTAGCCGCCAGGTAGTCAATTTTAGTATTTGGCGGCCTATTGGTCCTGTGTCAAATATCATTATTGGCATCGCTGTACATATTGCCATTAATTGCATACATCAGTCATTCAATTATATCATAAATTGCATCGATCGACAGCCATGCTCCTTTGTCGACTTATTTAGTCAGTCGAAATGCTGTCCCCGCCCTTATGACAGTTAATCCCCTATACAACATTTAATATTAAAGGATAGATGACAGATTTCGTTTCAAAAAGAAATCACATTAAACGCGGATAGATGTAGATGTCTATTGTGCTAAATGTGCTGATAATTGCAACACGATTTACGAAAATTATAAACCGTGCATAAAAGCTGCACTTAGCTAATTGGGCTACTACGCCACCCATTCCGCTTTTGGTTGTCCACGACTTCATTTGTAGTATTCCAATGGTATGACGCTGAACACGCAATCAAATTAAATCTTACATCAATGTTTACGTACAGTCACAGAAAAGCTTTGTGGTCGTCAAATACATGCATTTTAAGCATATACCAACATTCGACTTTGAGATTTTGGCAATGAAAAGAACACTTCGGTATTTGCTGGTGGTATAGAAACGCATCTAGATGAATTCTCCCAACTTCTCAGAGAACAAAACGACATAACTAGCGAATAGTAAGCGTGCGAATTATTGTTTCTATTGTTTACAAAATTAATCAATTGGCAACTGCTCGACATAATGAAAAAGTCTAAACGGAAACGACGACTAAAATCTATTCCGGACAAAAACGGATCCCAGTATACACGCACATATAGAAATACATTAAAATGACGATGTTTGGGTGCGACAAAGGGAGCAGCTTAAGATGGAAAACTACAATACTTGTTCAGTGAAGGTTGGCTGTGCCTATTGTAACAGACTCAACATAATAAGTACATTATGTTAAGACAGAGAAACGACACATGTCTCGCTCCACTGCAGCACTAATAGGGGTAGTCGAAGTGCATACAAAATAACGACATCGAAAACCACAATAACGCAAACAACAACAACCACGTGAAAACTACTAAGTCAATCGACGCCGAGAATGTGTCGTGGAAAGGGAAAAGTCGTTGTGTAGGGAGTTTCGTAAGTGTGGAGGTGGAAGTGGTCGTTAGAGGGGTCATACTATCGGTAAACGGCAAAGCACCAGCGGTAAATCAACACAGTTACCCATCGAACCAATCTATTATTGCTATGACTATTCCTGTTGCTGCTGCTGCTGCTGCTTTTTGGTAGTAGAAAGCGTGAGACCCCTGTGCTCATTGACAGCGTCTTCACTGAAAAGGCAGGAAGGTCAATAGGTGCACCAACGCCGCATATTTCTCGCTTGTGGGAGATTTCGAGGTAGAAAAGGAATGACGCAGAAATGCGTTATTGACAACCAGAAAAGCATAAACAATAGGCAAGCATTATTTCGTTAAAAAGTATCTCTAGTAATAGCGACAAGATTGTAAAAGCAATAGAAAATGTACACAAGTACAAACATACAAGTAGCAGCACCAGTAGCAGTTTAAAAAGCAACTGATGTATATAAATATAACTATTATTCTAACTATAACTATTGCTACACATAGTAGTATTATATATATTGGTTTAAGTAAAACCTTTAACGGCACAGTGAAGGAATGAAGTAGATACATGGTGACGTATGGATTAAGGGCCATTTATTGAGGGTTAATGCACCGATGCAGACTGATGACCACTTGCCGTAATTATCTTCTTCTAATCATTGTTTATAATAAATACCACGGTTAAAGGTAAATAACATTAATGAAAATAATAGGAATGTTCATAATGCTAATAAAGTTAGGTTATCGGGTCGGCAGCACTGAAAAGCTTCGTAGAAAAATGGGCAGCAGAGCGGTCGGTTTCGATCGTTGCCTGTTAAAATAATGTGAAAATCATGGGGGAATATGTATAGGAAGGAGCAGGTTGAAGAACGAGGGACTGACTCTGCGGAAAAATGACGTCCGGCGGGTGAGGTTTGCAGACAACTAGCCCGGACATGTAATGTTGTGCAGTATATAAGTATAGATATATAAATATATTGTTTCAATGATAATATCAATACTATCTCCTCAGAAAATACGAAAAAAACATGCTGTAGATTGAATAACGAACAGACAGAAAAATACAGAGACAATTTTCGTCGAAGTGTAATTTCGAAGATACAAGCAGACGACACACACAATAAATGGGAAAGAATATCCTATATATATATATAGCGCGCGGGTGTGAGTGTGTGACTGAGTGTCTGAGTGAGTGTGCGTGTGTGAGTGTAGGTGCGTGTGGTGTGTGTGTGAGTGTGTGTATAATAATTGAGGGGTATACGTAAAACAGAAGGCGAGCAAGCATAAAACAATGGCTACATATTGAAAACATTCAACAGCTACATCAATGATGATATTGATGCTGATCATGACGATGATAATGATTAACATTAACAACAAAAAACCGCCAATACGAGAAACACAGAATTAAAATAAGGACTTTAATATTATGAGCGAAAGGCTTAGAGAAAGAAAGAGGGAAAGAGAGAAAGAGGGAACGAGCGAAAGAATTTGCAAGGAAAAGCGCGAAAGTGAAGTCTAAGTGCGAAAGAACAGAAAAAATGGCAGCAGATGGTAAATTGATGAAAAATGAGACGAGGATTTAATAATAAAAAAGTAATAAGAGTATATAAATATGTATACAAAGCTTAGCTGATCGGCCTCATTATTATTAAATGTTCAATTGATTGATGTAGGCTATTATGTAGACTATACCTCGATATGGTTGGTGTCCAGCATTGACGAAACCGTCTATAAAACACACTTCACATTTTGAGAATATTTTTCAGCAAATGCGGAAATGCTAATATACAAGTAAAATGCAGTTTGTGGCTTTTGGTTGATTGCTGTTACAAAAATAGGAAACGAAACTAAAGGAAATCGATGATTGTATGTGTCATAGGTAGACGCCATCCGCGGACGACCACGTCCCCTCCCACTCAGTACGAAGCAGAAAAATATAGACAAGACAATGCTATAATTAGATATTTGTGTGTCAAATGATGCCACCGTAGACTAACTTTTAAGTCTGAAACTGTGAAAACAGTTGACTACGTGAAAGAAGGCGCTTGCGTGAAGGAACGAACGAACTGCGCGCGAATACTGCGACAAACTGAAAGCGAATGATGTAGAAGAGAATCTAATATTATATTATGCTATACACTAACTGCACACTACAGCCGCCCAGTGTACTCGGAATTGTAAGAAAGTTATTGATTGAAAAATTAATATATATTTTCAGAAATAATTCAGATTGAAAAACTTTAAACTGCATTATGAAGAAATTAGGCGTAGAGAGTACCTTTTAGTACTTGTTTTTCGCTTTTGTATGTTGGACATCAATCAGTTTCTGCTTAGATTAAGCCTTTAACCGGCTGTGTGTGTGTGTGTGTGTGCCACATGCTTACGACGTTCGCTGTCATAGCAGTTTATGAAGTTCGCCTAGAAAAATTACTTCTCGTATTTGTTTATATGGCTCGCTTATTCGAACATCAACAGTACAATCTTTTTTTGAACTCCGCTCAATATATTCATATATTTAAATACTATTATCATTAATATTAACTTATATTATCAATTCTGTTAATGGTCTATCTGTTATCGTCTTGTTCTCCAAGACATTTTTCTTTGCGGGTACCGTCATCATCGGTTGTGTTGTTTACGTTGGCAGGCTCTTTTACTACCAGACAACAATAACAATAAACAAATGCGTTTGATTTTTCCACGAACAGCTTAAACAATTATATTTTTGCTGTTTTACGATGGCCATTATCATACTATTACACTGCGCGTTTCATTCATAATTTTTATAACGCCCTTATAATTTTTTAATATTTTTTTGCTTATTGCCATTTTTCGTTATTAGCAATGGCACAGTTGTTGTAGTATTTTTCTTACTATGCAATTGTTCTCTTCGATCTTCTGTGAGATGATGATGATGATTTATGCTTGACTGGTGAAGGGGGGATGTGCGTCTCTGCTGATCGCTACTTGAACATGCTCGTTAATCGATTTAGTCTATTGCAATCAAAACAAATTAAACAGAGTGAGTGACAAAAGACGACGACGTTTCGTGGTGGTCAATCAATGGACATCAATGAATATGAGGATTGTGATTTGGTCGTAGATCGTCGCCTCGAAATCCAACTGCGAATTGACTGCCTTTTTAAATGCACCTAATGGCAAATTTGGAACGCAGGAATAATTTACGTTCGTGTTACTGCAGAACTTTGCACTTTTCTTAGCTGTTAATTGGTCACGTAAATAGTCATTACTTAAAGACGACTAAATTAAATGCCTTATTGGAAATACATAAAAATGTGTGTCTTTTTCGCTCTTATAGTGAGATCTCTAGCTACTGCCCAGTTGGATTCTGAGGAGCGTTCTGGTAATTAGACAGACGGCAACTCTTCTATTGCTCACTAGTCTTCGCTAAGGGTCAACTCACTTATAGACGAAAAGGTGCTTTCTCATCGTGTCAGCAATCGGATGTGACTGTTTGACAGGTTGATGTCTGGCCATTGAGGAAATTAGGTTTACAACAGTTCGCCTTTTTACGGAAGGGGTCTGGGGTTCCATAATAGTTACAACTTTGTGGTCGGGGCAGTTGGGGTAGGATATGATAATGGGCATTCATTACGCGCTCAGCAGAGGGGCAGGTTCCTCCTCCATCAATATGGTACCCTACGTGACTGCATAAGACGTTCCAAAACTTTCCCATCTGCCCGAAGGCAAAATAACGCACTAAGGATGAAAAGTACTAAAATATAAGTATTGGCCGGAAGTGCAACTGCTAAAACTTAATATGATGCTGCTGTTGTCTGCCTAGCAGTAACAGCGCTGTTCGTCAATTCATGTACGACTCCTTTTTGTTCTATCTGATATTACATGTATGTATTAGACTTGCTGCGTCGCCGGCCCAAATTTTAAATACAGGCTACACTGGGCAATTGCGCCTTAGACATGCCGCTAGGGGCAATATTTTGTCTACTGTCCGTATGGTCGGTTGGGAGTCGTTTCGGAACTGTCGTCACAAGATTGTGGGTAGCCGTAGATGTTGAGTGAGTGAACCCGACCCTCTTCTTTACAGGTGGTGTTACAACCGGTAAGTCGGGAGCAGCCGGAAAAAAGAGTGGAGGGCATAACGGAGCTGCACCAGCTGCTTCGCTTGGCGATAGGACGACCGAGCACGCGATAGCCACTGGTCCTACTGCAACGGTTGCTGGCAATTTGGGCAGCGACGCTGCGGCAGTAGCAGCAGCAGCAGCTCCAGCTGCTGGGGAAGGAGGAGTTGGAGGGGCGGCTCCGCCGATGGCCACCGGTGCGCCTCTAGGATCTACAGAAACAGCACATGTCACCGTAACGCACACTAGCGGTGGAGTACCCAGTGACGGCGGTGAGCTTGTCAATGACAGCGCACATGGAAAGGCAACACTAGCAAATTCAGGTCTAGGAAAGGTAAGCCTTTTCTAAGTGTGTGAGTGCGTGCTGTATCTATCAAGTTCCGAGGGTCTTTGCGGAATCAAGGCCAAAATGCTCCAGACTAATCCATTTCATTGGCTCTATCCATAGTTATGATATAAGCAACGACAGTAATAATAAAAATAATAGTGATAGAGGAGTAATATATGAACTATGTTCCTGCAACACAATATCAAAAACACGTTGACATCTTATTGAGCAGACTCAAAGATCGTCGAGAATGGCATCAGGATTATATATAGTATCAGCATTGGGCCCTACCTGAGTATCCATAGTACACTTTGAATTGGAATTTGTCACGAACGATGTCTAAAAATCACGATAAATACCTATATGAGGGTTTCTTAAGAAGCCCTTTTGTTGCCACTCCTATAGAATTCTTATTAATCGCCATATACCTTGTTAAACGTCACTCTATTTGATACCGATAGCTTCTAATTGATATGGATGGTGCATGGCCATCGTTTATGGCAGACTGAAAATTTGCAGATGCCTATAACGGAAGAAACAGACCTTCTAAACGGAATGGCAGGTTCTGGCGGAATGGACACAGCAGATAGTTCTCTCGGTATGACTGCGACAGGCGTACGGACAACTAACAGTGATTCTATCAATACCAACAGTAACTCTATGACGGTGAGTCAAGCACTATGATCGATACCGGATGTCTCGAAGGCTTCTATCATTCTAAAGCAGCATTGCAATTCTATTACTTATGTCTCCGTCAATTGCTTGCTTATTCTACTCTGCTCACACGTTAAGCTTGCGGTTTCTTCAGTCGTTTCATGAAAATACGTTCTCTTACCATCAGATCTTGTCTGCTTTACTTGAGCTACTTAGCCTGAAAAAAGGAAAGAGCAGACTGCCTATTCGAAATGTACTTTCATTTAATTCTTACCTTACGCTTCGGTTTACATTTGGGGGCTTACTGCCTAAAGCATAACGAAACAACGTAAGTTATGTTAGAAATAATTTAGTCTGTGCATCTGGTCGGAACAAGGTTTCAGTACCTTTTCTTGTGGTAATGACAGATCGTATAAACATTTCCAGAATCATACTTTCAGCGGTGAGGGGCCATTTTGTTGCTTCCTTTTTTAAATTGCGTAAGTTACCTAACTTAGTTAAAAACATGATAATTTCCTTTGAGGTATTGCTGACTATACAGGATGGCTCATGATTTGATCAATCATTTTCCTTTTTGCCTTTTATCCGACGTTTATCGTTATTTTACTGAATTTTCAGTTTCTGCTTTAGTGTAATTTTCATTATTTTCTTCTGAAATATTTCATCACAAGACGTGTGGTGTAACTTGTTTTGATTCTTGTTAATCATCCTCATCGTTGTTCGTTGTCGCCGGTGATGATGATCGCGCCGTCGACAGAACACCTCAGGAATGGGCGTCCCAGGGGCCCCGCAAATGATTGGTGCAGGGAACATCGTGCCAGGCGGTGTGTCGCATATGATGCAAACGCCCAACTCCAGTGGCGGGCCGGCTTGTGCCGGCAATGCTGGCCAGATGTTGAGCGTCGGAGCCCTTGGAATGGACATGGCTGCCTTAATGGGCGGTCTCGACCCCCAACTGGGCGCATTCGGCAAGGTACGTCGTCGTCATAAGGAATTTTCCGACTTGCGACGGTGATTGATAATGAATTGTGGTCTTCTTTTTGGCGGCTGTTGGCTGTTGATGCAATCGATACATTGCGAACATAGCATGGCAACATCTCATGGCGTTTTCTTAACGAAATGTGAATCACCTGGGAGGCATGCTCTTGTAAATAGCCAGATCACATATGGCAACCCGATCAATTAGCAACGATAGATTAAGAGATGATGGATTTAAATGATCGATGAGCAATTGACCGAATTTGCGTATTATTATGCACGTATGCGAATCACGCACATCTATGTGTCATCCGCCCATTGAATTATGTCACCTGGCCTCGGCTGTTGCGTGTCCTGTACTTTTCGTGCTGCTTGCTGGTTACCATTGCTGGCGTGATATCTACGTATTCCGCCCATTGGAGTTATTCCGGGCTCGGCTCCAATTCAACTTAATACTGAATTCAGTGCTTTCCCCTTGATCGATGGTACGGTCTATGTGCGCGGAAGGTCTTTTTGTGCACGGAATAACTTTATTGAAAGAGAATAGCTTGTCACACGGTATCCCGTTTTTACACTATCGGCTAGGTAGAACAATAGCAAAATCATATGGTGCCCTTAGGCGACTTACCGTAAAGTAAGATTTGCCAATTCCAATTTATGTTCAAATCTACATCTATGCTCATTTTGAGCTCAAGAGATGGATGGAACCTATCACAGATTTGACTTCATTATCAGATGGTTTACGTGCTTGTTCAGGCTTCTACAGCCTATTTCTTATTTTTTTTCCTATTTATGAAATACAAAAAAAGCAATTCCGTGATCACCGCCCACACAAACTAATTCACCCCATATTTTCTGTGATACTAAGTGTGCAAGCAATTACCTTTTCTTACACGCTAATGATAGTAGCAGTGAAATCACGAAGCACGATGAAGACCTACATATTGCAACGGTTGATCATAGTGATGGACAGTTAGAGGTTTAAAAGCCATTAGAAAAACAAAAATTAACGGATGTAAAAGATAAACACAAAATGGAATTCTGGTTTTGCACGTTGCACGTCTCGTACGTGCATTATAGTCGAAAGTTTGTTTTTCTTGCAATCTGTGGCCTTTGTTTTCAAGATCATTACCATATTTTTTTCCTGTTTTCTTTATATCGTGTGTATGTATACGATTACCGCGGCTATATTTTTCTTGTAGTTTTATTCTAGGCCCAAGCCGAAGAAATAAAGGTACCGCCTATCACGATAAAGCTATGTAAATTTGTTCTATGGAAAAGATCATAATTATCAGTTGAAACAAAGGTATTTCGTGTTATTGTCAGGTAAAAACGTTTTGCTAGGCGTCTGATGATCATTTATGATTTTTTGTTGTAAATCTTTGTAATAGTAGAAAGGTTTATAACACGATGAACTTGATCAGAATGTACAGATCATGTAGATGATCAGAAATTTGATAGCAGAAAGAGTTAGAGGACTCAATGATCATTTTTTACTCTTACATATAAATTTCTATATACATTTAGAATAGTGGGATCTTCGTCACGCGTTGCATACCTTGCGTTTTATAATTAAATTCGGGTCTGTCTTGCTCCGATCACTGTAGTTCAGTAATATACCTTATTTACACGTCAAAGTGGAGCTTCTACAGATGCCAACACTATTACATACACAATATCGGCTAAATGTTAGAATAAGACAGGCGCGTTTTTTCGGGGAATTTATTCCATATTTATAATTGCAATGGACGAACACTTATTTCTGTTAGTACTTTCGTTTGTATCTGGTCGCCTACGCCAGTTTTGTCAAAACAACTTTCTAGCTTAAGTTTGTATTGCAAATTCAATGTGTATTTTTTTATTTGTTATAAAGTGGTAGGGCAATGTTAGAAAATGTTTTGTCCACCAAAATGTTTGTTCGAATCCACTGCATGCCATCGACAGAATGGTTCCATTCGAATAAAATAGCATCTTGTGCATGCTCTCGCTTGGTCTGCGTAACAACAAATATCCATCTATAAATAAAGCAAAGCTATATATATATA